TAGCTCCATTAGGCCCGTCTGCCCTGCCCAAGGTTCAGGCTCTCCTGACAGACGTTTGTGTACAGACCCCTGCCCTCCTGCTACTGAGTTACATCTGCCTTGCTTACTGAGCCAGGTCCATGTGGAAACTGCGCTGCTGTAAGAGAGAAGAACTGGCTGAATGCTAAACACTGGCCATGAGTGGACCTCACCACCTGCAGCCCTTTTCTGTGACAGCAAGAGAAGCAAGGGCTGGGTGTGTTTTAGTCTGTAAGAAGCCAACATTACCTCATGCCTAAAGAAAAGCCTCCGGCGTATTTCAGCATGATTCCCAGGGAACAATTACAAGACATGGACGGATTCCAAGATCATTAGAATCAGAATGGAGGCAGGCGGAGGCTGAGTTCACTCTGGCTGGCCTTCCTCTGAGGTGATTGATTGGGCTTTAGCATCGTCCTCCTGAGAGGAACACTGGGACATTGGGACCGGATGGCTACTCCAACTGATGGTAAAATAACTCTCAAGGACACAGAGGTTCACCTGAAATCTGAACTTTTTCTGAGCCATTTAGGATTGTTTGCTGTGTAGAAAAGGAAACCGCATATCCGCTTAAATCTGAAAAGCAAATCTATTTCTGCTAAATTTTAGGTAGCATTATTAATTAATTTTACAAGTGTAAGCTCATTTGAGCTGCTTTATGTTTTTAAGCCAGTCCTAAAGAGCTTTTTTTACTGATGCGTAAGCACAATGCCATTTTATTAGGAGTTGTTAGTTACAGAAGGGGGTGTTTCTAATGTACCATATTCACATTGCAAGCATGACCATTAACCAGATATTTTCACTCCCTTATGCCTAAAATTACAGTACAAGAGATAAATCAAACCAAGACAGTTGAATAAGCACCGTCCAGAAAAATCCATGTATCATCAACAAAGCAAATACTCTGATCATGAAATGCTGTTCAAAGGTTTTTATGACAAGCTCTGCACTTTTGTGTGCAGTTTCATTATGTGCCCTTATACATTATCTAAGGAGGATTCATTTCCTGCTTGTGAGAGTGTCCAGAGAATGGATGGAGGGATTTATCACAGTACCACCATGTTTATGTTGTTAAAAGTACCAAAAATAACTGTCGGAGGCATTAGGTTCTACAGCATCAACAATCAAGACCCATGTACACAATTATGGCATTTTGCCTCGATTTTACTTCCGGCTGTAACTTAGTACAGCTCTGACACAGTGTAAAGAGAGTTAACAGTGGCTGTTTTCAGTTCAGTTTTCAGTTCAAAAATTGTGCTGGATTACATGAACAGTATGTATTGTTTTACTCTTAATCCCCTTGTGATTAAGTAGGTGCAGGAAAGGCAGGCTCTATCACTGCCAATGCAAAGTACCATCTAGAGAGATAATTACAGATTGCAAATGTATTGACTAGGTATTGCATAAGAAATGTGGACCATAAATAGTATAAAAATGGGTTTAGATTTAATTAAAATGTTATGGATATAATTTAAATTTGATGTGGTGTAATAGCTTCAGCAGGTTTCTTGTCAAATATATGAGGCGCAGTCATGCTTAACCAGAATAATGAGATGACATTTTGTCATACAGTACCTTAGCTGGTGCCAAGATGTACCCAAAGAGAGTATTCAAGTTTAAGGAGAATGTACTTGCTGACTCAATGCCTGTATTGATTATAAATGTCTTCCACAAAGCATCTTTTTTTGCCTACAGTGACAAATAGTGATCACATCTTTGCTTTGGCTGCAAGCCTTTCACAACCAATTTAGACCGTGTTAAATTTACTAAAACATGCACTTATTTTGGAAAACATCAGCTGATCCGGCTGTCCCCCATCTTATGATTCTGACACTTTGATGTGGAAATTTGTGATTGTTGCACACCACTTATTTTTCCATGCTACTGCTTCTACTGTTTTAATTTGTTCTCTTTTTTGTAAGGGTGCTCCAATCGATCGGTCACCGATCATAATCGGCCGATAATGGCTTTAACTAGTTTGATCGGTGGTCGCTAAAAAGGCTGACAAGAAAAGCCGATCAGATGACGCAATACTCACCAGACAAATTTTCAACAGCAGCTAAAATGCGCTGTGTGAGCGGTTTTCAAAGCTAGCTAGCACCAAAGTCCTTCTCAGACAAGGGATTAATGCGCCCACATAATCATTTACAACCTCCCGTCCAGATTAAAACGGTGAATCAGAAGACATTTGTTTGAAAACGCTGCTGCCCCGATGCTCACATTTGGCTTTGTGATTCGGTCTTATCAGTCATGCAAAGCAAAAACACGATGCTACTTACAGATCAACTCTGATACGCTGCTAAAACGCTGCTGTGGACGGAGAAGATCGGTTTCGTTATAAAACTGTTTTAAAAACGTAGCAGTGTGGATGTAGCCTCACATTACCCCAATCCTCTCTCTACTGCTCTCATGTCAACCCTACCGTTTTCCCCGTAAATCTCCCGTATTTTTAACCTTTATAAAGTCAAATAAAAACCTTCTGGCCGTATTTAAAGTGTTTCCTATTCTCTCCACTGGTAAAGTCGGTGGCAGCATGTAAGATATGTATGGATGTAAGGATTAAAAATGAAAACAATCCACTGAAATAATATAAGGCCCATAGCCTGCTAATGGCAAACCATATGAAATTATAATGAATATAGTAGCCTATGTAATATTAACAATTGACTGTATAATATGGAATTTACATAGTAGCCTATTTTTGTTTATTAACATTTTCCTTATTTTCAAATCTCATTGAAGGCAGTTTTGACTCCCCTCTGTAGCCCCTTCTCCCTCTCTCCACTCCTCTCTCTCCCCTAAAGCCCACAGAATCTGCCTGAGCTTTCCAGAACAAAAAGCAGCTACTTCAGAGTTTATCATCGACTCATGATGCCTGTGCTCCTTTATCTCCTAAGTATTTTGGCTACAGCCTTTTTTGTTGCAGTTTTTATGGTTGTAGTAAATTTATAAAGAGGCTGTTTGTTCTGTTTTTGTAGTTTATTTCACAGTAAAGCTATATTTGTTAAGCTATAAGATGTTCAGTAACAGTAACCAGGCAAAGGCTGCTATGGTTTAAGTCTCTAACACAGATTGAGCAGAATTTATTGCCAATGTTTCCCGGCAGTAAAATGAACAGTTGTCATTTCATGATACTTTATCATCTGTTAACTTTAACACTTAATACATTGTTTTAGGAACAATTAAATAAATATACAGTATACTGTATAATGCTACATGATAAATAAAAGGCTCCAAATAGACCCAATGATCGGTGATCGGTATTGGCTGACGCTGCTTTCAGCAATCAGTGATCGGCCCAAAAAATCCTGATCGGAGCACCTCTACTTTTATGTAAATGATCCCTCCCCAGATCCTGTGTTAATGATTTCTGTCAAAATATTGTGCCTGCTAGTCGGTATGGTCTTACCCTGAAAAACATATGGTGTTTCTGGCACTAGTTTTTAACCCACTAACTAGGTATTCAAACAGGATGTCCAATGTTACCATTATAATAGTATTTGAAGATGAACACACTGGAGCCTCAGCTGCTGGATTTGTAAACAGCTGGTCATTAGTCTTGACTTAAATCACAGGTACAGTAGATTAAAAACCCTCCAGGGAGCCACCAAATCGGCCATCATCTGCAGTCACCAAGACAACATAATCTCACAAGATGACGGTCACATGATTTTTATACAGCACTGTGTCATCAGGATGTTTGATATAATGTTAGTCTTTGTGCTGTTACGAAAGTGTCATTGTGGCAGGGGGCTGTTTCAGGTTAGTAATGAGGTCCCAGGAGGATTATGGAGACATAATGGAACACATTGAACAGGTTTACTGGTGTTTCACGTTTGGAGCCATCTGTGTGCTTTTGTCATGCTGAGATATGTGGTCTACGACAGTTAGTCTCGGAGAAACGCCTTCCTTACTTGTTACCAGTAAGGACATGCAGACTACCTCACACTAGTCAAGCTGACCACAGGTGACATGAGGCAGTAAGACCTTTCTCAACAGTAATTGCCGTCTCATACTACGTGCGAAGCCAAAGTCAGTCTAGTTGACTGTTTAGTTGAAGGTGTTTCACTAAAACAAAGCCTCTCCTTACCTCCAACCTATCTGTTCACCCTGCCTGTCCATCTGCCCTCATTGCAGCCATTACATTCATGTGTTCCAGATCCACTCCCAACCCTTCCCCCTCATTTAGAGCATCCCTGTCACAGAGCCTGGCTGCCGTCATTTCTATTCAAATGAAAGACCAATCTGATCAGTAAAGCAGAAGTGAGGTGAAGGTTCATCAGTCTTCATAACAACAAACCAAAGCACCCAGCTAAAACAGCTCTCAAGTGGCTTTGAGACAATTCACTTAATGTTCTTGAGAGAAAAACCTACAACAAAAAGTCTAGTAAGAGACCTGAAGATCACAGTGAATTGTTATTCCTGTCCAGTTTGAAAGAGCTTGAGATTATCTGCAGTGAAGAAGGAAATTAGTTTTAAGAGCACGTCATCATGGGGTGCCGGTGTTGATTGATGACAAAAAACATTTTAAATTAAATATATAAAATAACAAAATGAGTGAAAATGTTAATTACTGTTAACTAATACTTTATCAAACCCCTGTATGTGATCACCTTTCCTTGTTTTTTTCTCTCTCATGCTGGGTCTGTCCTTCCGCTCTCTCCATAGCAGATATGAGAGCAGAGCTTTCCTTCCTCTTTTACTGAGTAGGCTGATTGAGTTGGTCTAATAAAAAAGCCTTTTTCAGTGGGCTGTCATCTGTCTGCCACCATTAGATAGCTCTATGTAAATATTGGCTGACAGCAGAGGGAGGCTTTTCAGCAACATGATTTAAGTCGTTCTAGAAAAATGAAACTCGATCCCTGTTTCACTATTTAAAAGACAGACTAACTGACTGCTCTTGTGCGTTGTGGTTTTCTATAAAAACAAAAAGCCAGTAGTCTGTAAACTCTGCATCTGTCTTTGCTGTGCTTGTTTTTCAGAATGGTACTGACTATGGGTTCCTGGTGCGTCAGAACTCTGAACTCTTGCGGGCTCTCGATGAGCTGGAGAAGACTTGTACCACACTGAGGGAGGAGAATGGCCTGCTGGTAAGGCTGAAAATAACAGAGAGTTTGTATTCTTGACTGAAGGCTTCTTATAAAGTAGGCCAGGTGCACAGAAAGGGCCGACAAAACATTGAAAATGTGCATTGTTTGAGTTTGGTGCTGTTTGCCCCATTTTCCTTTTTCACAGTAACTTATTGAGTTTATAAATTGATCATTATTGTTTTGTCAGTGTGTCGGCTTTTACCCATCTTATGTCTTCTGAATTTCCACTGGTAACACGGGCAGATGTTATAACACTCGACAGCATGCTACTAAATCACACTTTAAACCACTAATAAGCTTCCTTGAATAACTGTTTTTGTGACTCGCTTGTTTGGTTATGCTGTGTTGGTGTTATATTAGTTGCTGCAGGCATTGTCTGGTGATGATATTTTTTTCCCGTGTGTTTAGCGGAAGAGCAGCGCCCCAGAGACTGAGGAGAAGGTCAGACGGTTGAGGAGAAAGAACACAGAGCTGGCTGTTCTTGCTAAGAGGCTGGAAGAGAGGGCTCGAAAACTGCAGGAGGCCAACCTCAAAGTGGTAAACCGCATAAATACGATACCTCGAACATTTTCACAGCGAACTGCGTTGCCCTCAGTGAAAGTATTTTCAAACCTGATGTGACGGCAACTCCTCCCGATGGATGGTATCTTTTACTGTAGTTGTGTTGTTTTAAAACATAGTTTGCCAGTGAGGTATCATCTGTACCTCGACATAAACATAAATATCAACTTGAAAATTTTGATCACAGGTTACAAATTTGGTTGTACGCTGGCTGAATCCCTTTAGCGTATGCAGTAGCTTGTTAGACAGTTAACAGCTAAGGCTGAGAAGACAAGCAGTTTAATACAGTGTGCTGTTCACTGTTCCAGGGGTTTAAAAACACAAAAATATACCGTAGCATAATGTATGTCCATAGTCCTTCACTACTTTTTAATATAGTAGGTATGATTGCTTGTGAATTGTTTCTGTTTCTTTTTATTAGATACAGATTTATGACTTAACAGAGTAGGGATCCTGAGTGGGAAAGAGCTTCCAGTACAAGTCTGGCCTGAACAGCAGAAGTAAGGAGTACAGTAGTCTAGCAAACAATTTGAGGGGCACCTATGTTTATCCTGGCTGCTACGGTCACTGGCTGCTGTGTGTTCTGAGTGCACCTGTTCACCAGACTGAGGGAGGGACGGTTCCCCTCCCCCCTCACCTCCTGCTGCTCACTGAAGGGCAGAGCAATGTAGTTCGGATAAATGGACACCAACAGAAGGTTTAAAGACTTGTAAGAGTTTGCAGCGCTCATTAAACTACTGTTTTGGGGTCGAATCTAATCACAAATGTATTAGAAACTGACTTAGTTTGCTTTTCTAGTAGTCAAAGTAGTCAAAGTAAGAACCAATGATTCATCATCAAACACTGAAAGCTCTAAGCTCAGTAGCTGGACAGTAGTATTTGACTACTTACAGGGATGTGTTTATAATGCTGCCCCTGTCTGACATTGTATGATATTCTAGATGTTCTCTGCTGATCTTTGACGATATCCACTGTCTTCAGCAGGACAGCACTAGTAGCTTCATACTAATTCCTGCATACCACCATGAGACTTTATAATGTTTAAAATGCTTGTTTCATGTCCTCTCTGGTAATTAATACACATGCCTTTTTGCTCGTGTGTAGGTGAATTCCCCGTCACTGATGAGACCCGGGTCAGTGGAACAGTACAAGAGGGCGTTTGCCCGTCAGCGAGCTCGTGACCTCGCCCAGCACGCCGATGCACTGCTGTCTAAGGACAAAGAGATTGCTGCCCTACAGCAAGAGTGCAGAGAGCTGGAGGCACGGCTGGGCACCACTAAGGTACTTATTACACAACTCCTCAGGAACTACTTTACACAGCCCAAACTGAACTGTGGTCACTGCTTATTCTTATTTTTGACTGAAAGCCTTATTTAGAATAGGCTACTTCTCTTCTTAACATCTCACCCTCAATGGTCATGTAAGTTTTTGCATCGGTTTTCCATCTAACCCTGCTCATCATCCCCGCCAGAGTCTCATAATGCCACAAGCTCGCTCTCTGCTGGACAACATGGGAACTACTCATCCTAACCCCCTCCTAAGCCTGTATTACGAAGGCTGCGTCACTGCCTGTGACTAGATGACAGTGCAGGAATAGGCTGCCTTTGTACGTGCCTGTTTTTAATTACTGGTACAGTGACTTAGGAACTCATTTTTCCTGAATGAGAACATCTGTTGGATTTAATAAAGAAGGGTCTTGCAGGGTGAGCTGTGCATTGATCTAGTGAGATTGACCTTGCTGGATCCCATATTCAGTCTAAACACAATTTCACCATGTGATAACGGTTGATAGGGAGGGAGGGTAAAATGGTCTTGAATGGGAACACTTGAATATAATGTCGAAATGAGATGACTTTGATATTTTCTGATGTCCGTGACCCTGAATGATGCGTGTTTTTGTTTTCAGCTTTGCAGCTTTCCCTCTGACTGTTATATTCACTATTGTTTTGATTCATAGGGATAAATTGAACACTATTTTAGTGTTTTGAAGTCAGTTTTAAATTGCAAAAAAACAGACCAGATCAAAATGTGAGTGATGGCATACATAATAATGATATGATAATAGTGATGAGATAATCAGTCTGTGATTCAGTTTAGTTCTTGGATGCAGCTGATTAAAACAACTCAAATTAAAATAACTACTATGTGCTGAATTGATGACGTCATCGTCTTATGGCTGTCTTTGATGCATGTGTATGTGGCTTTGCAGGGCTCCCCTGTTCCATCTGGCAGAGTGGAATTTGAGAGGCTTCTCAGGGAGTCTCAGAGGGAGGTGCTGCGGCTCCAGAGGCAGCTGTCGGTCACATCATCCAGACAGAAGCACGACCATAGCCCCGACCCTGGTGGCCCAGAGAAGTGTGGGGAAACTGGGAAGGAGGAGGGGGAAGAGAAGGTAAAGCCAGCCCCTTCATGTGAGAACACAGCACAACTCTATGCTGACCCCTGCTGGTCTTAAGCAACTTTAATAAATGAACCATGTCTATGCACATTAAAACTGATGATATAAAATGAACTGTAATTTTTCACATCAGATCAAAATAGCACTGGCTAAGCATATTTTATCATAGTTGTAGTGTAGTGAGGATCTTTGTTTGAAAATAAAAAGACTGAAAGTATGCATACACTGTAACCGAAATCAGTGTAAAGGTGCAAAAGCTGTAATACTTTCTGAAAAACTGGAATGATGAGGTTGTTGAGCTTATTTGAGGTTCAGCATGTGAGCACAAACGAACACAGACTAGATCATGTTTTTACACCTAGAAGCGTTGACGCTGTTGGTACTACAGTATAGTTTGGATTATGCGTTGTTTGGTAATGTCAAATTTAGCCTGCTGAGTTTTTCTGAAACCTAGTGTATGTTTATGTTGGCACGGACGCAGTTTTGCAGTGTTATGTAATGGCCACCCTGTTGGACCTGATACTAATCTGCCACAAGCCACAATGAGATGATTCCCTGTCTTGAACTTGGGCCTGATCAAAGATACAGTCACACACTCTGATCCTCCCTGCATTTCATACTGATCTTCTCTCTATTTAGTTCTTAGAAACAGTCCTTCACCGTGAAGTGACGCTCAGATATGTAATGTGTATGTAATATGTATATGTCACTGGCAAATTATAATAATGCACATATATCATAAATATATGAATAGGTTACATAATGCAGAAGAGATGTTATTACATTTCATTGGCCACACCACTGAACATCTGTAATAGGAGAAATGTCATTTACCTGGGGTCCTCTTGAGTGTATTAATATCACTTTACATTACTTAAAGGCATACATCTTATTCCTGGATTTTTGTGTGAAATTCTCCACTGAATGTGAAGTAGAGTAAATTCTCTGCCTGTGAAGCTCAAATGAGAATGCCGATTGTGGTAATCTCTCATTTGTGGGACGCACACACGCACTCCCAGAGGCACGCGCACACCCAGAAAGGGGCCATGTTGTGTGAACTCTAATCCCCTCTAACAACAGAATGGTACAGTCCAGTAATCCGCTCTCTGTTGCTGTGGCAGCGGTGAGAGGGTTCTGGGTGGTAGGTAAGACTCCAGCCGCACTAAAGACTTTTCTATCTCGCCCTGCTCTGGATAACTAGCAGGCCAAGGGAAGCCTTGACGTTGCCACAGATCACACAAAAGGGGTAGGTCATCTTATGAGTTTTGTTGTCACTGTGTTTAGGCCTCAGTGGTACGCTGTAGTTCTCCTTGGCTAACCTCGTATGTGTGTGCTTGGATGCAAGGCTGAAGCCGTGCAGGACTCAAAGTTGAGACTTAACACTGAAAACTAATCAGTGTCATGACGACTCGGGAGTGTGAGAGAATTGGCTCAAGGCAGCCAGTGTTGCATTTGTGTTAGCTGTTAAAATCACCAGCTTATTCTTAAAGATTATTAGTACGTTACATGTCCCATGTTAGTATGGCAACATGACTCACAGCTGAGGGGATTTTTCTTTTAGGTCTCATAGCTGTTGTTTTTTAATATTCGTTTCGGTAAATCCTGTGGTAAATCCCACCCTTGTCTGTGATGGACTACCACTTTCTTACAAATTAGAAAGACGGGACATACATGAGGCCTAGTCAAGGGCAGCCTGTCAGAAAACTGGTTTTATAACAGTCATATTTTGGAGCTTCCAGATGCAGATTTTTGACAGACCGACTTAGTGACAGGGTGGTAGAGCGTTTGATTGGTGGACATTGATATGCTCCGTATTAAAAAGAAAATCAACGGCCAGGCCAATCCATTAAGGTGCTTTTAAAAGAAGTGATCCAGTTACCCGTTTCAGTAGTCTGCAGGGATTACACCAATGTGCTTATGGCATTCAGGGCCTGCTGAATGGGATCTGACCCTGCTTTAGTATGCATGGGCCCAAGGTGTACTTGATCCTTGTACATGGACCACATCAGTATGAAGTGTACACAACGGCAGCTCGCTGTGTGAAGCAGTGTGCAAGAGGTGAGCCTGTAAGCTAGGACCTCACACATGGCTGCATCCTTCAGCAGGCCATTCATTGATAATGGTTTATATGACTGTCTTTATGCATCCAGAAGGATTTGAGTCTTTACTTAATATCTACAATATCCATTACTTTGATTGTTATGTTTTTATGCATGCACTGTTACATTTTTAGATCAGTTTTGTCACATCCCCTCACTTCCACTCACTTTTAAAAATATGCTAGTTTTTTGTGACGAAGAAGCCAACAATCGTGTTTTGAAAATTCTTATAATAACCGCCAAAATCATGAAATAAGCATGATACTGAAGATGTAGCATTTGCACGGAACACAGGAGTAGACAGGAGAAGGCGTTTCTGATGTCTGTATTTTTTTTAGTTTCAACAAGCACTAGTGTTCTCTGATGTTACATTAGTTGCCCTGTCTGTCATAACCCAATCAAACCAAAAGACACACCAAAGCAAGATGCCTCGATCAGGTATAGTCTGTAAAATATTTATACAGCAAGGGAATGTAGGAAGTGAGCAGGAACTGTTCTTCAAGGCCAAATCTTTTAATTATTATATATTCATACTGTATGAAAGTCTGATTTAGAACTCTCTATTTAAATAGAACAAATTTGCATGCCAGGAAATATTGTGTTTTTCTGATTTTAGTATCCAAGCTCCTTATTTAGCGTTAATCTGTAGAATAATAATGCTTGTTAGCTGTAATTGATTATATATTAATTGCATTGCTACTACATTTTCACTCAAAGCTGCAATCAGCTTTTGTCCTACCAAATTACTGTCATTGATTTGATTTTACTCCAGTGGCTCCAGGAGCAGCAGTGTATGGCATGGCATCAATAATAGTGTGTGTGTGTGTGTGTGTGTGTGTGTGTGTGTGTGTGTGTGTGTGTGTGTGTGTGTGTGTGTGTAAAATAAAAAATAAAACATTCTGGGAGGATGTTTGTACAAATATCTCAGTGTGTGTTATTCATAACACTTTGAAATCAGTGGAATTTAAGAATTAGTTTTTGAAGGTTAGAACTGATATATTAGATTTGAAACTGATGCTAACTGTAGCATCTTAGAATTGTCCCATTTACTTGCCCAGAAATTCCACAACATGGCATTGACTGGTTGGTTGATCATTTATATTTAATGAAACACCAGCACGGCATTTTTGTCTATTGGTCTGATGAGACTGAACAGGAACTAGCTAGCCTTAAACCATGTCTCCTTAAAGGATGGTATGTTTTATTATAATTGTTCAGATGTTACTATTTCTGCAAAAGGCAGCAGGTTTATATTAATGCAACAATTTCTAATAATTTCTAAATGGGTCAAAAGACATTACTATTTGTGCTCAGAAATGTATACTTTATGAATCTGTTGCAGCGCTGATCATCTTTTTCCTTAATTGCTCCTTCCTGAAATACAGCGCCATAACCAAGTACATGCACAGTTTGTTAGGTCACGCCAAGTTTTGTTAGGTTAGTGTGTTGGCACATAAACCTTTGAAATCATAATAGCCTAAGCCTCGGTCTAATGCTCTCTATGACAGGCCCTTTATTCCTCATAACATTGTGTAAATAAGGCATTATGTAATATTCCCCCTGTGTGCTCATTTGTCAAAACCATGTCAGAATTATATCACACGTCGCCTGAACCCTGATTATATTTGCTTTCAACTCATCATTGTGAGCTCTCACATTCAGTTTAGAAAAGGTATTGCTCTTTTAAGGGATTTGAAATGTAGACCAATAGCAATATCTTGCTGATTGTAATATGTTGTTATATGAAAGTACCCCAAGGGATGTATACACAGTGACAGTTTTTGGAAGGTTTTGATTACATCTTCGTAATGGTATGAAAAGTTTAGACTCTCCTTATTTCTCCTGTGGTAGACGTAGCTAAGCTGAATCGGGTTTAGTAAATGCAAGGAAGGAGTTAAGAAAATGAGAAGAGCTGCAAAAAGTATTGGAATAATAGTTAAAAAGGATGTTTTGTTCAAATTTGCATAGGGTGCTTACATTGGCCACCACGTACGTGTCACTCCCAACTTGGCGCATGGCTGCCAGACTGTAGCAGCAAACTCCACCCACTAAAGCCTGCCCACTCAATGGGTATGAAGAGCTACAAGCTAATTAACAGTCACGATGGGCTGGTTTAACCAAGACTGACCAAATACAAAGGAGGGCATTTCGCCAGGATGCAGGGATCACCTGCCACGTTTGGACTTGTGATGGACGTGACGGGATCTTTAATGATCACCAACAGGAAACGGGAGATGAAAAATCTGCACTTGTTTAAAGCTCTGTTCCTGTTCACTGTTTTTGTACAGGGGCCAATGGAATTAGTGCCTCCTGCTGGCCTTTCGTCACCACTACTAACACCATCTGGTCTCCTATCCAAAAGATAAACCAGGGACAGCCTTGCTTAACTTTACATGCCACCAGTTTGGTGCTGAACAGTGAAAATGGGTTATCTACCCCATATTGATGTCTTCCGTATCCGTATCCATGATGCTTGAACATAAGTCTTACAAAGCTTCATCCTCCCTGTAAGCTCCTTCACATGTGAAAGGAAAACATGCTTACAGCATTAAGCACCTGCATGTTTAACAAATAGGCATTCAACTTTTATATGGTTTTAACACTGCAGGTGATGGCAATACAGTTGTCTTCAATTGAAGCCATTCTGTCCATTATATGTAGGTTTCTTTTAGTGACAGTTTTCTAAACATAACAATGACAGTACACATCAGCCAAAAGAAAGGACTCTTTTCTAATCAAATCAGAAGTTTCTGTTTCTTTCTGGAGCTACAGGGAATGAAACTCTCGTAATCTTCAGCCTCTCCAGAATATCTATACTGCAACATGATAGATTAAATGTTTTAACTGTGAATTGTTTGGCAGATTTCAGCTGTCCCGCCGTAATTGCACAGATGAATGCTTGTGTCATATGTATCTAGTGTGTGAACGTATGTATGTATAGAGAAATAAAACCAAAAACAATAGGTCCCAAAGTATCCTTCAGGATCCAGGTGTGTTTCACAACTGACTCTTTCATAACAATGGCATCATACATTGGACGCCATTGCTACCAGAACATAGAGAGTCAAAATTTGTTACATTTGCCAGATTTGTTAGACTAATTCTTTTACTATTGTGTTTGTTAAAATGTTAAAATCTTCAAATTGAACACCTATTGGAAGCGCTGACAGCACGGATCAAAAAGAACAAATGACAAAGGAGTTTTAGGTATACTTTGTCATTTTGCAAGCATTCTAGTTGATCTCTAACATATATTTATAGTTTGGAGGGTATTTAGCTGGTTAATATTATATGAATCTCCATGACGTCTTCTGACAATCCCTAGAGAAATCATTTATTTAACAAGTGGAGACTGTGGCTGAAGTCTGGAGTGATAGGCCTTTTAGTCACTAACAATGTAAAAGAAAGGAGAGTGTAAAGGAGAGATCCCCTGTGCAGCACGTGGCAGAGCTCATTTGATCCTGTTATTGGGTCATGGCCTTGGCTGCACTAGCACAGTTCTACTCTGAGCATAAGTAGGTTTGCTCTAAAATTAGATACTGATTCCCGACTCTTAACCCTTAACCAATGTCAGCCTGACCCCCACCTGGAACTAAGACAAATCATACAGTTTATAAAAATGAAAGAATAACAGCAATTAGCTGAGAAAAGTAGCCTACTGTGAAAAATTCTAGTCATTACACCCAGTCTAATTAGAAAGGAGACACTTCCTGCTAATGTGTCATATGTTGCGGGCTAGAGGGATTCCCCCTGGATTATTCATTGATTGTAGTTGGACCACTGGGAAGGAGGCTTTCTGCTAATCCCTCACTCACAGTGGGGGTGTAGTGTTAAGTGTTGCTCTCCAGTATAACAATTATATATTTGCTCCCTTCTCAGGAGTTGGTCATGTTTTTAAGATAAGAACATAAGCTTTTTTTTTGTACAATACCTTGGAAATTTACTTTTCAAGATAAACTCTGTAAATGTAAAGTGACTGAATGAATACGTTTCCCTGTCCCTGTCAGGTTGTAGAAGAGACCCCGAGTGTGGTATTAGATGAAGCTCCATCCAGGTGTGAGAAGACTCCCGGAGAGGAGGAGGAGTCGTGGCTGCGAGTGACGCCCCAACCGGGCCTTAGCCCGAGCCCCTCCCATCAGGAGGAACGCACAGAGGAGCAGCGCCTACAGTTTCTGGTGAGAGCATCTAAGTCCATCCTCTGCCGATATTCCAGCAATTCAAACCACATCAAATTTTCCAGAACTAACAAGCCATATTTGTTTTTTATTTTCTGTTTGAATTATAATATGAATATTAAATCTAGTTTAATATTGCTGCTTTCACAAGGACAAAACTGTCCATGAAAGCAATTTGTTAATAAATACTTGTTATACAAAATAATCAAATAGAATGCATGGTTGTTTCTTGTAGTTGCTGAAATTAAAGGGTTAGTAATGCACAGGGTTACTAAATGTCACTGGCCCGGCTTTCATATCAATCCCTTCGTCCAAACAGTCATTCGTCCTACACACTTCTTAGCAGCACATTTTAAGAATCTGGCTTTGCTATCCTCTTTGCATTTTTGTGTGAAACTGAAGCTTGATTTCAGTGTTGTCACTGAGCTGACTGCCACTGAAGGAAAAACTATGGTCCGTTATGTAATGCTAGGATTATTTTGATCTTGTCCCTTGGAAACAGAAGAGTAGCACATTGCCCTTGCTGATTCTACAAGTGGGTCTCATGGCTTAAATCTGCCATATTCCCTCTCAGCTCTGTATTTACTTTCTATGTCAGGATGGAAAATGGAGATTTCAGACATGAATTGATGCTTTGTTTGTTGACATTGAACATCAAATCAGCTAAAAAAAAACAAAAAACAAAAAAAAACGTACGATATATAGAGAACTGATTACGCCGTGGCAACCGTATCAGTAACAGGCTTCAAGTCCACTCACCCTTCACGAATCCATTTTATTTTTATTTTTATTTAACCTTTATTTAACCAGGAGAGTTCATGCACATGCAGTTAATGTGTTTTCATGACATCTGTACTACTGTCAGTGCTCTCACTGATGTGTCAGTAGCATTTTGACAAGCTGGTGGTGCAGTTTTCTGAAGAAGTTATAATCAATCTGTAGATGTACAACTGTATTTTCTAAAAAGGTGTTGTGCTGCTTCTAAATTTGGTTTGCTCAAATCCATCATTTCTGGATATACAGCATTCTCATTTCACCAAGGTCCTAATCAAACCTGCAAAATGATGAAGGGAAGTATATACGGTCATTTCTGTTAAAAGTGGGATCTTAGATAGTGGTACGTGTAAAGCAAAGCACAGCAGCTGAGTAAACTCTGAGCTTCAGCAGAAACAGTCAGCCCAGATATTTTTAGCCACTTTAGCAAAGTCCACCACTTTGAAATATCTCAGCAGCTATTGGATGGATTGCCATGAAATTTGGTCCACACGTTGATGGTGCCATTCAAGGGTGAAGTGGAATAACTTTAGTGATCCTTTCACTTTTCATCTGGATCCATCATCAGGTCAAAATTTTTTTTAGTTTATGACTAAATACATGCAAAGTGGATGATATTATATCATATATCAGCCTCAGCTGTACTTAATGTTCAGTGCTAATTAGCAAATCTGTCAGCACGCCTAAGAACGTCAAACTGGTAAACACTGATACCTGTTAAACAAACAACATATGGACTTAGTTCATGGGGAACAGGACAATCCAGATTGGGATCTAAATCTGAAAAACAAAAGTTAAGTTGGACCGCCAACAAATGAACAGTGAGAAGTGTCTTTACTGATTGTGAAACAGCTGACAGTACAAGTTCCAGCCAGTGCAACCGTCATTAAGCTTCACAGTCGTGATTTGACTGGACAACAGAACATCCCTGCTTGATGCAAATTATTTAGAGCTGTGACGGATGAAACAATCAAGCAAAGCAGACCACAGATTGCAGTCTAATTATCATTATTGTCTCGCCGTGTCATCTTTTATGGGAGTACAGTATCTCTTCCAGTCAGCTGCTGGTGGTCTGCAATTAGCCTGTCTGTTTGGTAGCTTCCCCCCACGCAGCCATAGTGGTAATACTTGATTGAGGTCCTGTGGCCATGCTGAAATAAGCTGATTTTTCCTATGCTGGTCCTGCATGTAAGCTGCATTTAGAATAATTAAAGGATGCTAAGCTTTGTAATACCTCATCACTGTCATGTCAGAGGTCAATATGGAAACTAAAGCAATAAATGCAAATCATCTGTTATTATATTACATATTGCCTTTCATGGTTTTTGCTCTTAAACATTATATCCTGCTCTACTACCACACGCAACATTATTTGTGTGTTTAGCTGCTTAGTGTGCATCTATCTATCTATCTATCTATCTATCTATCTATCTATCTATCTATCTATCTATCTATCTATCTATCTATCTATCTTTATACCATGTAAATTACTAGATTTATTTTTAGAGCGATATTAGATTTAGTGTAACCATCTGTGCTTTATTATCATTGTTGGTTCAGGAAAGTGAGCTGAGCAAGAAGAGAAAAGAATGTGAAAACCTTGAGCATGAAGTAAAGAAGCGACAGAAGAGATGTCTGGATTTGGTAAGCAGTCTTCTTGCTCCAGTATTTCCTTTTTGCATTCTCTCTTGCGGCGCTCCAGTCTGGTTTAGGCATTACCGTAGTGAACTTAACGCCGACTTGGAAGAAATCTATTTCCTTAGTTTTATCTGAACGTTGTCTTGTGGTTTGGGAACAGGAGAGCCAGCTTGAGGATGAGCGAGGCAAAAATGAGCAACTAAAGGAGGAGGCAAATCTCCTCAGGAGGAAGGCACAGCTGCTCGACCAGGTCAGTGTCTCCCTGCCCTGTCCAGTGGGTCTCAATTTCACAGATGTGTCAATCATAGCTGTCAGCTGGAATAATATTTTACTCACAAACTAAACGTTGAGATCTGGGGATGCAGTGACATCACTAGAGAGGAGCTCAGGATCAAGCAAGACAAGTGGTCTGACAGTGAAAGAGGTTGTCAGAAACCTCTTTAGATTCCACAACTATTAAAATGGTTGCAAATAATGATATTCCTATAAAATGATACAGTCAGTTAACCTGCTGTTGCAGACTCGGGCTGAGAATGAGGAGCTGAGGGAAGATCTCTCTGAAGTGACCGCTCAACACAATTCAGTTCTCGAGGAGAACCAGAGACTCCGTGCCAAACTGGAGAACCTAGAGCAGGTCCTAAAGGTACTGTTGGGGTCAGATACTGTTATTTTGAATTTGACTCCTTGCCGTGCCACTTGATAACATTGTCTTCTTTCGAAACAGCATATGCGAGAGGTCGCCGAGCGAAGGCAGCAGCTGGAATTGGAACATGAGCAGGCACTGGCTATCCTTAAGTTCAAACAGGATGAAATCAAACGGTTACAGCGGGTAGGAACCACAGCCTCTTGTACCCTTTAAAATATCTGATAACTACTTTTCTTACTAAAATCAAACCTTGGGGCACTTTGTCCAGCAGGAGGCAACCTTTGTGCACCAGTAAAACATCAAATTTTGTCAACACAGCTCGCTGTACTGTGACTTTTGACTTTTATGAGTAGCCAACGTTTCACTGACTTTAATGTCTTTTTAATCGTCAGGCTCAGTTATTCGCCAAGAGGGAGCATGAAGGAGTGGTTCAGATGCTGGAGGTGAGTGTGTATTAGACCACTGTGACTTCTGTCCAAAATAAATGGTTTTATACCATGTAGTGTTTTCATTGCCACATTGTTTATTACCGTCACACAGGAGAGTGGAACTAAATCCCTTCAGCCCTAACATTAGAGAGAGGAGAAATGTTTTTCAGACTTCCTCTGTATTTCTCTCATGCACTAGTGATTGTACTGAGATAAAGTCTACTTCATTATTAATGAAGCTGTTTCTTATTTCCTTAACACCGAGCAAAAAAGTATAAATATTTAATTATCTCCCTGTTTTTAGTAGACTAAAGATGTCTCACTGCCACTGAAGCAGCATGGACATTCAGTACAATGGGCTTGAAACACCTGGCAGAGAAGCTGTTGCAGAAAATACTAATACTGGTTTATTTGTAGCACTCATCGGCCTGGAAAACCGTTTAAACAGATGGCTTCCGTGTGACATTTGTACTTGCTCTCAGTCTGAGTGTAAGGCAGTTTGAATTCAAAATGATAGTCCCCATCTGTCTGATTGGCTGCTGATTTTGAATGATGAAAAAAAACCAGAAGAAAAAATCAAACAGACTTCCGACCCTAACTCCTTAAAAATGTCATCATACACAGTGGATGACTGTATAAATCTGCTGCCTGTGCTCTGCTTTTCACACTGTGCATTTTGTAATGAGAGTTTGTTCCTAAATGAAGTGTGTATTTTATTTTAGGAGTTGACTCAGCTTGTGTTGCGGAGGGAGCTGGTAGAGTATAGTTGCTCCTGTTTTTAAAAATGCTCATTTCCTTCCTCTTGCTTAGTTTCTCTCACTTTCTGTCTCTATTTAAACCCAAAGCATCACAGGAGAAAGTCTCTTTCCCTCCTGAGAACCTGAGATTTGTTTGCCAAGTCAACACACTGCCTTTTGCAATCTGTTAAAAACATTTATTGAGAGATTAAACAGAATATTTGTGTGTTCATTCAAAAGGCAGGTGTTTGCTGCTGAGGGCCAAGACACATTCTAGTGATACTGGTTCCTGACGGGATTTTCTTGCCGACTTGTTCTCAGACTGCTGTGTTTCTACTTTAATAATATGCTCTGTCTTTCTCAGATTCATTGTTTCACAAGCATGTGTTTGCTTTTTATAAACCTTTTTGTATCATTTGTATTATCTTTCTGCTAACCAGAGTACACTGGACTGCATGCAGGTACTGTTAACCCTTTGCCTGATTCACCTCCTGGGCTAAATGATTTATCTTCCTGCCCCAAAGCCTTCCCTGGCCCCTGTAGATAGACCCACCATACCCCAATTATTAAAATGAAATACTTTGATTTAAATACTTTAAGATGGCAACTTAACCATGTTTATACATCATTTGTGTTAAAATTGTAAACAGTTACAGCCCTGCAGTAATTATTGTAAAACTGTGCATCATAAATGCCTCATGTGGCCGCAGAGGCACATTTGATGCTGGTGCAATTTGTTTTAGGTTACTAAATGTGTGTAAATCAGGTCATTCACACAGGGCTAGATAACAGTGTTTTTGTGGCACAGTTATTGCTCCCAGCTACACTAAGCACAGTTATCCTGCTCATCATGCTGGCTTGTTATTTGATCTTATTGTATTAAGGTAGAACCTCCTCTTGTGTATACCAACGCATGACTGAGTCGGATTGCCGTTTGTAACTGCGTATTTGTTGGAGATTTTTAAATGAGTTTTAGTACATTCCCACTTCAGCTCAGTGTAGCTACATAAGAAGTGACTGTGGAGTAGGCTTTGCGTAGGTGAGAGCTAACAGGAAATGTTGTTCAGACCGTTTCGTGCTGAGGCTTTTGTCAGATCAGCCTGCCAGGAAACTCCCACCACAACCTGAAGTGAAATCAGCAACATATAGAAACTCAGCGAGGCTAAGACAAACCTGTAGTGTTCTGGCAAATAACGCTTCTGCCTAGTGGCTTTGTTAAAGTGAATACAGTGTAAGACAGAAGCACAACATATAACTTCTCATAACATATGCTACCCCTCCAACTCTGGGTTTTACTCCCGTTTCCCATCTGACCAGAAAAACTACCCACCTTTATTTCTCTCCTTTCTCTTTCCTCTGAACCTGTAAGTCTTGGTCACTTGTGTTTGAAGCTTATAACAAATGTTTCACTGACAGATTACTTTGTCGGTCTTCCAGAGACCTAAATTCATTTTGCTACTTACTTCATTTTATAACAAACTGTTTATACCTTGTGGAAGCAGTCTTGTATGTGTTTTTCTCTATGATACATGCAAATGGCTGTGTATGCTTTTAGGTTTCTGCATGATACTGACTCACATAAAGATGGTTACTTTACTTACAGGGCCCCATTTTAATTGCCCAAGCATAACGACAAATGCAAAGTAGTACGTCCTGGGAATTTCCTATTTTAATTAATAGATCAACTTTACCAGCATTCCTGCTTTAACTACATAAAAAGTAATTTTTTAGATGCCAATTTAAACGCATCTATGAGCCTGGAGAGCGTTTATTTACATTTTGGGCTGGCTTGTTTTATTTCTGCACATTTTCAAGTATTTAGTTTGCAGTTAACAAAATCACTATAGTGGAACCTAAGTTTCACCAGGTGTGATTCTGAGACATCGTTTCTCATTGCAAGGTCTAAGACACATTGTCCACCAAAATACCAACAACTTGCACTCCTGTGCACTGTGCACTCTGCGCTGGCCACCAAAATACCACACGTGGGCAAAGTGAACTTCAAGGTCAGGAAAATACCAAGTGGTCGGAGCACTGCCTGCACTGGTCGTTGCGGCACCATGAAAATAGGGCCCACGGAGTTAGACCCCGCCACATGACTGATGTGTTACAATAAGACACTCAAGATTCACTTAAAACACAACCAACTGTGTTCAAACACTATTTTACCAACCTTTTAAGCAAAGCTTGTGTATTTAAAAATGCACAAAAGTAAATCACAACAGTTACCCCTGAAATTAATTGATAATCAATAATTGATGATGTACTACAATATGATAGTGTTGAAGAGTGTATTTTTCCATTTAAAGTGAATTGGTTTTTACTGGGTGTCTGTTTTCCCTGTCTGTTACCTGATGTGTAGTCAAAGGTACGAGAGCTGGAGGACAAATGTCGCAGCCAAAGCGAACAGTTTGGCTTGCTGTCCCAAGAGTTGGAGAAGTTCCGACTGCAGGCCTCGATGGTGGACCTGGCCAGCTCTAGCCTCCTTAACAATCCTGGCCTCTCTGTTCTGACCAATGGGGTGGGCCTGACTGCTGAACGAGGTGGGCCACACAACCATGACATGATGTATTCACACCCCAAAGTACAACCTTATACAGAGAGAGTATATTTGTTTTTGAGGGTGTTTCCTCACGATAGAGTCCTCACTGCAGTTAGCTGCACATCAGAGGATAGTTTGTTCTTTTTTAATTTTGTTTAGGACTTTAAAAACCTTTTTAACAACCAGGTGAAAGAAACAGATTAATTGAGTTCATTTATAATATCCACAAAATACTTGCATATAAGTTCATGCTTAAAAATACATTTAAATTTTGCAAATACATAGCAGTGTCAACAACCATTTTTTCTTTGAACAAAGAGTTGAAGTCAAGCAATCTGCCTTATTCTGTCTTGGTTCAAGATAATCTAATAAATAATTGTCTAACCGTAATTCAGCTTTCATAGTATATCGTCTTTGTTAGTGTTCTTGAATTCTTTCAGTTCCAGAAATTGGAACAGAGCATGGCCTGGGAAACGTAGACCATCAGCATCAGTCCATTCAAAAGCATCCAAAGCCATTTTTAAACTGTCAATCAGGGATGCTTCCTTTTAGGTTTTAGTATAGGAAAGTTTCATTGTGGACTTTGTACTTTCCAAAAGATCTTAATACCAGTATATCTCTGTAATACAAATTGAGCATAGTCTCTTACATTTCACGCGGGCGTGCGTGTCACATTTCAGCTATGTCTACCAAGCCTGTGAATTAAAGGTCATTTTAAATTCCTGTTCACCGAACAAAGTTGTTCGCTGAAGAGGAAATGTTTTTAGAATATCCAAATAATGTAATCCCAGCCACAACCGCCTTAAATGTAAATGTAACAGTCCACATCTAGTCCAAATCTGTCCTACTGTATGTATCCCACAAATGTATTCAAGCTCTTTCTCCTACGTTGTTCATGTGTTTTAGACTGCACTGGTGGCTCATGGGACATGGTGTCTCTGGGTGAAATAGCCTTCTGGAGTCTTGAGGGAGGGGACACTCTCTCCTGCCCTCAGGGTAATGATCCGTATGGTACTCTCTGTCGCTCAGTATATGTTGGGCAGTGTCACTAAAGCATGGCATGTTCAAACCTGTTCATCTCACCCACATAGTCACAGTCCAACACTGTAACAGAGCTTGTCTGTAATGCTCAGCATCACATGAGTGCCCATGGGGCTGCTGTTAGAAATGAACCGGTTAAGCCCTTTAACAGTGCTGGTGTGACGAACGTTGCTGCAAGGTTGTGACCTCTAACCTCAGACAGATGGAGACAGGATTTTTCCTCCACTGTTTAATCAGCTAGGTTCAACCTTGAGCCTCCTGCATGTCACACACCTAGCTGCTCATGGATTCAACCAGGTTAACCAGTGAGAGGGCCGGGGTCGTCTATTAAAGTCACGGATTATGTATTATCCTCTTGCCTCCTCTCTCCTGCTAGATGTGGCCACTGCTCTGCGGATGGGGGCCACCCCCCACGCCGCAGGGCTGTCCAGGGTGGAGCGCTCGCCTGTCACCAAGCATCGAGAGCTGCCCACCATCAGTGTCAGCAAGTCAGGCTCTTCCTCCAGCAAGTCGGAAACCACACACCTCACCCCCAAGTCTGACACCCACCTCAGTCCGCACAAATCAAGCCCAACACATGAGGTACCAGCATTTAGAGTGTACAGTGAATCACTTGTTACCTATTTCAGAATGAATACTTTAATTTATTGATCATTTATCAGGGGCAGCGAACATTAATCAATATCGATATGATGTAAATGTGTCGTATTTAGCTAAAGGCTTTCATCTACGGCCCCCTGGGCAGGTTGGTGTTATTAAAAGAAAGAAACCAGACAACATGAACAGTGGACTAATAACATTTTGAGTTTTTAATTTAAGTTTTGTGTGTAGTTTTTTCTTACTGGTGATTCCCTGAGAGCAAATATTAAACCTTTTGCAATGTATTAATAATGTCTTACCACACAGCACCGATTGTGATTATTAAATATTGTTACAACTTCTTTCAGTTACGTTTACTGAAATACACTTATCAGTTAGTACTATACACTCTGGTAGGCAAAGCAATACCAGTAATTCTGCCGAAAACCCAAGACCGTATCTCACCTCTCACAAAACCCTTGTCAAATATCTACTACATTTGAAAGTTGCCAGCCACTCTTCATTTCTGCTAGCCAAAATGGCTTTCGCATTTGGTGGGTGGGTTAGCTGGTTGTTTGTAATAATACTCCTTCGGTCTCCTAATGTTCACCCAGGTTATGTGATTGTGTAGGGCTCCTGCCTGCAGCTCTTCTGCATTCTTTGTTTCTGTATAGACAGGCAGATTGCTCATCAAGACTACCAAGACAATCACATTGATTGTGTGGATGTAATATATTGAAAAGCCCTCCTTAACCCCCTCCTCTGTCATCACACACGAGTACAGACTGTAGCTGAATATTTTAGAGCTCCCGCTGCTCATTTATAAGATTTTTGGATATTTGGATCTGCTGCTATGATTTGGTGTTTTTGTTGTGTCTCCAAAGAGTCGGTGTCTGGTCTTGACAGACAGACAGGTTGGTGGTCTTTCCATCTAGTCACTCGTCTGCCCACAGCTCAATAAAGCTCATATTTATTGAGATAATCCACTCGCCACTGTGGATTATGAAGGTTATACAGTAGTAGTTGTAAGTGATTATCCTTAAAAAGGTTTTCCCAGGGTGCTATAAATATACAACCTTCAACCTCTCTCATTGTATTGAGTGTAACTGTTGATTTTACTGTAATTCTCTACTAACAACAGTGACTCTTGATACTAAGTCGTCATTTAACAATACTGTACACAGTATATTCACGTGAGCATGTTATCTTTTAGCATGCTAAAACTTAGTTAAATTGATTTTTCTTTTAGTCATTTACAGTCAGCAGTCAAGGCTTTTACCCAATGGTCTTTCAACTGTCTTCCTATGCTTAAAATGTTGCACCACATTTAATAGCAAGTTTCAGTGTTAAGGAAAATGTTGCAAAAAGTTGCCCTGAAAGAACATGCTTGTTTATTCAAACCGCTAGTCCTCTACTTCTGCATTGTGTTGTTCTCAGGTGGACACTGCCAGTGAAGTAGAAGAGCTTGACATTGACGTAGCCCCGGCACCTTACACAGCCAGCAGAGGAGCAGCAAAGCTTCAGGTTTTCATTGCAAGATACAGGTAGGCATTAAATCAAGGCAAGTTGAATCACTATGTCAACAGTTTGTTAACATGTGATCAAAATAACTTCCTGGTAAAATGGTTTTCAACAGCTATAATCCATATGACGGCCCCAATGACAACCCTGAAGTGGAGCTTCCACTCACTGCTGGAGAATACATCTATGTGTATGGAGACATGGATGATGATGGCTTCTATGAAGGTAAGTCTGGAGTGTAGATTGTTACATCTACAGTTCCATATGTCTGTATTTAAATGGTGTACATTCAGTGTTTTACTGTGGCTCCATACAGGTGAGCTGATGGATGGACGGAGAGGGCTGGTCCCCTCTAACTTTGTGGAACGTGTATCGGACGACGATGTCATGAGCACTCACCATCCAGAGACAGGGGACATGTCACATAACTCCCTGCTAGACAGCAGCTTGCACAGTGCCAGCCACCAGCATCACCTCCACATGGGCGTCAGCGCCTCAGAAAGGACAGAAGCCTCTGCTGCCTCTGGCCCTGCCTCAGCCCCTTCAGATTCAGCATCGGCCTTGGCTGTCCCAGCCCCCCTCACCAACGGCCTGGACTTGGATTTGGAGGAGGTGGGAGTGGACATTGTGCCTTACCCACGTAAGCTCACCCTCATCAAGCAGCTTGCCAAGAGCATCATCATCGGCTGGGACCCTCCGTTGGTGCCGGCTGGGTGGGGCAATGTGTGGAGCTATAATGTGTATGTGGACCAGGAGCTGCGGCTCAATGTGCCCTTCGGTTCCCAGACCAAAGCGGTGTTGGAGCGGCTAGACATAAACCTCAAGGCCTACCGTGTGTCAGTGCAAAGCCTAACAGAGAAGGGCCTCTCAGACCAGCTGCGCTGCAGCATGCTGGTCGGACGGGATGTTTCTGTGGCGCCCACGCAGCTCCGCGTGGACAGGGTCACCGCCACCTCTGCCAACCTGACCTGGCTGCCCAGCAACAGTAACTATGTGCACATTGTGTCCTTGAATGACGAGGAGTGTGAGCTGGTGAAGGCTGGCTGCTGCTCGCTGTGCCTCAATAACCTCTTGCCCAGCCTGCAGTACACAGTCAAAGTGGAGGCACGGCCGCACCGCACGCCATGGGAGTTACCTGTGGAGCGACGTGAACACAGAAGCGCTACAATCACCTTCACCACACTGATGGCAGGTCAGGATTTAGTATTTTATCTAATATCAGATGTTCTCTTAAGGTGCCATGCTAACTACACTTACACATAGTCTATGGGTCATGAGTCAATGAGACATATTTTCCACCATTCAGTTAAATCATATCAAACATTCCTTTTGGACAAGACTGAGTACAGAATATGTAAGGCTCAGTCTGGCTCAAATGTTTGATCCAGATTAAGGGTATTAGACACATTTTGAGAATCTTTTCAAAGTAATAGCTACAACCTGATACTGTAGCTCTACAGAAACATTGGTGTAGGATTTGTGATTCAAACATAATAACATAACATAATAAGTCACAGAATAAAATGTTTAGGCATAACATAAGACTTAGATTACATACACATGTACTAATTTGAATCTTTTGTAGAAATATGGAGGGAAAATGCCCTGCACAAATACCCTGACCCTCTGACATGTTTCCATCAAACATTAGCTACTTTTCAGTATGAACACAAAATCCCCAGACATCCCAGTTAGATGATTACATTTTCTGAACTTGTATCATTAGCTAGTGTGTGTGTGTGTGTGTGTGTGTGTGTGTGTGTGTGTGTGTGTGTGTGTGTGTGTGTGTGTGTGCGTGTGTGTGTGTGCGCATGTGTGCGTGCATGCGTGCGTGTGTGTGTGTGTGTGTAAGAAAGATCCTATTCAGGAGCTTACCTAAACTTTGTGTGGGTAATATGACCAGCAAAACCAGTTCACTGTTGAATCTGTCTAACTCTTAACACAAAATGACTGAGCTCTGGAGCCAAGGATTGTATTGCTATAAAGGGAAGGAAGATAGGTGACTGGATTGGCCTCTATACTGAGTGAATTCCTACATGTTGGTATTTACTTGAAGTGCACTTTGCTGTTTTGTTTGGTATTTTTCTGCCCTGCTCACAAAGCATTACACGAGAATAAAAGTGAAGGCTCAAAGAATTGGAATTCCACGTAAAAGGGGAAGCTCAGCTAAAGGTTATGGTATTTTGGTGAGAACAGAGTCACTGATGTTGCTTGATGCTGAGTTTTGAAAATCATTTGATGTCAGTTTGTGGTCCCATATTGGCATTCTGCTCCTCCCAGTGAACACCATTTTATTTTTCATGAGTAAACCATAGGCCTGTCAGATGCACATTTGTGATCGGTGTCAAATTAGATTAGATTTGAGTTGTTTTCTCTAAATGATCATTCATATTTGCTTAAGTTTCATGCCCACAGTCTGGGAACCAAGGTATATACATTTCTTAATGTCCCTTTAGAGTGTTAGAAACTTTTTTTGTGGTAGAATCATGTGCCCAATGTGATATTCATTTCTTATCCCTTGCAATTTATTTTCAATATGAGTGAGTCACTTGACCCTTGATTAATATAAAAACATTTCTCTAATATTTACTTGCCACTGACTGTGGTATGATTCTGTCAATCCGTGCAGGTCCCCCTGATGCTCCTCTGGATGTACAACTGGAGCACGGTCCCTCCCCGGGGATCGCCCTCATCAGCTGGCTGCCAGTCACTATAGATGCTGCTGGGACCTCCAACGGAGTCCGAGTCACTGGGTACACTATATATGCTGACAAGAAAAAGGCAAGAACATGGCGTTTGTTGTGGGACTTAAATTACTTTAACCCAAGCAATGCATTGTAATTTAATTTCAGTATATTTACTGTCTGCCTATGTTTTTTGAAAGCTGACGTACAGTTTTGTAATATCAATATGATGTGGGAATTTTAAAAACATACCTTCTCCTATTCAAGGTGCTGGAGGTGTCTTCCCCAACAGCCGGCAGTGCCCTGCTGGGCCCTTCTCAGATCCATTCCCTGCTGGCAGCTCAGGAGCTTACTGTCCGCACCATGTCCGCCCACGGGGAGTCCTGTGACTCTTTGCCAGTCGATGTGCCCTCCAAGCTGGCCGCCATCATGGCAGGTCCAGCTGTCACCCCCCCAGTTGTGCCACCCTTATCCTGCACCCCTGCAGGTTCCAGTAACCCGCACTCACCGATGCCCTACGGGAACTCTGCTGCCAAAGTCTCCATGTTGCCCAGCATTTTGCCATCGGACATGCACATCACTGGCCTCACAGAGGAAGCTGCTGCCAACCCTCCTCATGCTCTCTACTCAGAATATCTTCTCTCATCTGCCTCATATGTGAAGGCCTGGGCCAACCCCTCATCTGCTGCTGCCTTGGCTGCGTGTGAGGCCACATCACCAGAAGTCTCCACCATCACACCAGTGGTAATCCTCATACTGTATATATTAGAGGCCACCGCTTGTTTTTGTTTCTAGATTTTCAAACTAGTGGGGAGGGGGACTCAGGCAAAGATACTGCATGAGGCGAAATGGACAGGTGCATGCCGGTGTTCTAAAAACAACTGGAAGTTAGTCATTTTAGTTTGGCCCACGTATCAACACGGTCAGCAGTGGCAGTTCATGTAGGCAAAGTTTGTACTCCTCCTCTGAATCAAAACTTAATCAAATCTGAACACAGACATGATACCCATTTTTTCCATAGTGGATAAATGCCCCTTCTCTGCTTAGAAATCATTAGAAAAAAGTCCCTCCTTAAAACTGTGGTTTTCTTCACTTTCAAAGTAATTTAGTGATTGTTTTCTATCCATGACGATGGGTTAATTAAATAGTATTGTATTGACAATCTTTCTCCTCTTCAGGTTAATGTGACCTCCCCCACCACCTCAGCACCTCAACCATCTCCAGTAGCAGCACCAGCACCTGCACAAGCACAAGTAACAGCAGCAGCAACAGTGCTGGAGCAACTCAGAGACACAGACAGCCCTGGAGCGATACGTCCGTTCCCTTCTATCACAGAGTTCATCGAGGACCCCAGTGCCAAGCTCAGGACCCCTGAGCGTATCCCTAGTCCACCCAAAGTCCCGTTCACAGACTTCCTTAACCCTGAAGACACTAACCTCCTCCGACCCCCCTGCCCTTCACCGCTGGAGTCAGAGGTAGAAGAGGAGCAAGAGAATACCCGCTTGGTGTCCATTGAGGAGTTCTTGAGACAGGACCAAGAGCCAGCGTACTGTAGCAGGCAGCAGGTCAGCCCTGATCAACACTATTTGAAAATGGTGTGCTCCCCTCTATAAAACATAATGTAGGTGTATCTGAGTCTGATCACTGCTGAGAACTGAGCAGAGGAGTTGTCTAATTCACCAGCAAACATCAATGTGATAAATTTAATGAGCCTCATCCTGCAAAAGTGCAGGATAAATGTACTCTGCATATACTGTAAAGTTGCTGATGTCTTCTGGAGTCCTAAACAGTTTATGCTAGACCTAATCAATCTTGGTTATGTTTACCTTGTGGCTATTGATCTAAATGAATGTTAGCTCATTATGAGCTCATTGTCTCATAATGGACAGTTGTCAATTTTAACATATATTAATCAATAGTTTTTAATTTGTTAATCAATCCATGAATGTTGTCAGGTTTTGTTAACTTAATTCATTATATCTTTAGGAATTATTGAGATATACTTTTTTATAATAACATTTTCCATCATACTTTCAAACTTTGGCTGATGTGATCATAAAACAGGTGTTAAATTGCATTCTATGTGGTATTAACAAGGTTTTAAAACAATTTAAATTAAAATGAGTGAACCCAAGTTTTTGTTGCTTATAAAGCAACTTGTGAAAACATCACTTTATCCTGATGGATTAATGGAGACAGTGCATAATACAAAGTTTTGAGCATGGATTTCTTGATATTTTGCTCACATATTAAGCTTAAATAGGAGATCAGGTAGCTAAGTCGGTTGAGTGCCCGCCTCATGTACAGAGCTTAGTCCTTATAGCTGCGGCCTTGGGTTTGATTCCAGCCTGGGGTACTTTGCAGCATGTCTTTGCCTCTCTCTGCCTTATTTCCAACTTCTCTCTCTGTCCTCTCCAGATAAAGGCTAAAAAGCCCCCCCAAAATGATGTGGGAAGTGATACATTTGTGTCATATTTCAGTCAAGTGTGCTCTTACCAGCGCAGTTTCTCAGAAGCTGATGCGTTGGACCAAGGCCAGAAAAACGGCATTCAAAGCATATTCATGTATATCGAATAAACTGCAGTACGACTTTATTTCAAGTACTCAGTGGAATGACTCATAAGGACTTAACATTTAAGATAAATTCTCACAGAGTTTGTTTGATGTTGATGTATTGTTTGCAGAGCTACAGCAGAGGGCTCGTGGAGCCTCCCAGTGACTACCACGCAGACAACAGCCGTTCAGATCTGTCTGACATCCTGGAGGAGGAGGAGGAGGACCTTTACTCTGACCACCTCGGAGAAGCACAGGCCAGGGGCTACACTGTTGGAGCTAATAGGGTAAACGAATGAGTGCTATACATATGCTGTAGTTAATTTTTTGAAGTATGCTTCTTTCAGTTTGCATTTTATAGTTAAGTTCTCATTTATTGGCCTTGTTTCTTTTGATCATGCTTGATTTACATTATTGTTGTTTTTGTTTTCCTCTTTCTTTTTTCTTTCCTTTGCATGGCCTTGTTGTTGTTGTCCATTTTGTCCGCGCTATTTTCACTGAACAATATGATATCCCATCATCACCAACCGGTTCTTGCTTGCCTTGCCCTGTGGCCCTTGTAGTCATGCAAGTCAGAGCCTTCAGACAGTGATGAGGAGGTTCTTGAGAGGATCCTTAAGTTGCCTCCTCAGGTCTCCAAAAGCAAGCAGCTGTTCATTATTCCTGAGGTGACGGAAGAAGAAGATAGCAGTCAAGAAGAGCCTTCAATCCACCATAGTCAGCCTCGGCTCAGGCCCAGCCCCCTTCACCCCAGAGACTCAGAACGCCTCCACCATGCCCCACAGCATCACCCGCATCACCCTAACCCACACCCAAACATTCCCCCTCACCATCACCACTTCAACAGGGATCCTAGATCCCTAACCCAAGAGCCTTTACTCAGGCACGGACCCCTGCAGGTCAAGCCTAAGACACAGCACAGGGTGCACTACGCAGACACAGTTGACACCATCAGTTATCCCGAACAAGACATGAGTTTATATGATGGTCCCACCAGCAGGCGGGCCTCAGCCCGCTGTCCTCCCCAACCGACCCCAAACAGCAAGGAAAGAGTACTGCTCAGAGGGCTAGGGGACCGCCTTAGGAGGGAGGCCATGCTCAGGAGTCAGATGGCTGTCACTGCAGCAGCCAACCCTGGCTATGGTCCAACCCCGCCAAGACCCTACCCAGTCAGCAAAACAGTAAGGACAATGAGGTCACCTATTAGTCGCGGGTTGGAGATCGACGTGGAATACGGCACAGACGACAACGAGGAGCCTGTGGAGTACAGTCCCGGGGAGGTGGTGGTGGAGCAGATGAGCTCCGAGTGGTGGGTGGAGGGGGCTCAAATGGAGCCCTGCAGACCTTCTCTCCGCCGCGGGCTGAAGGCTGATCTACTGGTAAATGTTATCCCAGCCCCCTCCTCTTCCCTGTAGCAATGTGGATATAACCTTCTGAGTCCTTTAGTGGATATCATTGTACTCTACCACTCAGTAGTCAGCTACCTTTTCCATCAGCATCACTGCAGTGGACAGACGAGGGTCAGGCAGAAAATTTTGTTGTTATAAAATCAAGCAAATCACAGTATATTATTTAGTAATGGCGTGTTGATTTGCCGAGATGTGACCAGGAAGTGGTTGCAAAGCGTTTAAACCAGTGCATCATTACCCAGTGGCTTCAGTCTTCTTATCTTTATAAGATTCTGTGTCAAAGAGTAGCTGAATCTGGTCTCCCTCTGTCTGACTGCGCTAATTCCTGTTGTATTTAAATTCTTCTACACCTTGGAAACTACCCGGTTCTTGTTTTTAACTAGCCAGTGCTGCCTTATCCTGCTTTAGCTTTCTGCGGATGTGCTTTGTCCTGTGTCTGCTAAGACCACTGCAAAAAAGGAACATGTTTATGTTGAAACAGTAGAATGCTGGACACCCTGGGGTTTTCTATGTACTGAGTTTTCAATCTGTAATGAAATCAAAAAAATAAATCAAATGGGTTATCAGTAGATGAAACTTAGATTATTGAATATCGTTTAAAAAAATAATATGCTGCATTTGCTTTTTTATCCCTGAACCTTGAGGTGTCCTCTCCTACCAAGTAGTGACTGTGTTTCTGTATTAGATGTTTCTCTTAATGTCTTGTTTTCTTTTTCTGTATGTTGAGCAGGAGCCAAGTCAAATCCCTCCAGCTGAGAAAGGTCCGTTGCGGGGAGCCCAGGCCGAGCTCTCTTCTAAACCAGTGTGCTTGCAGGCCAGGCAACTCAAAGGTCAGAGACTCTTTCCTCTTTTGTCTTCCTGTTTCCTCTATCTCTTGATTTCTTTCCCTCACTTAACCAAGCTATGCAGTGGAATTGTATGATGCAATGCTGACACACCTGTGCTTTCTGTTGACAACTCTCCCCCTCTCACACATGATGGTAGTCAGATTAGGGAGGAGGTGGTGCTGTAGCTGCAGTGAAGAAGTAGGAGAGAGGCTGCTAAGCTGAGAACCGGCTTAGCCCAAAGTGGCTTGTCATGACAGGAGGAAGTGACAGACATTAAAATAGTAACCTTGATTAGCCAGCGAAGAAACGGACTGCAGCGCGGGCCTATGAGCCCCTCTCTTATCTTATCTACCCCTTACTCTCTTCTTTTCTTCTCAGTGGCAGTGATGACACACTCACTTAGTATACCTGACCTTTCTGTTCTGGTATATGTGTGGGTGCACAGTTGACTACACACACACACACACAAACGCATAAGTGTACACGTGCAGGAAGGGAGCAGGGAGACGTTATGTCCCATCTACTAGAAAATCAGTGAGGATGTGAAAGTGTGCAAGTTGTCTGCCCATGACTCTTGCCACAGATGGGCTGATTCTCCCTAATGAGATAGAGAACACGTCTCTTTAGTACAGCTTAAAGTCTCACTACTGCTCTTCAAATGTGTTGCTTGCTGTCAAATTGTAATGCTTTTAGCCACAGTGGTGTCATACCTCATGTCTGCTATGCTGTAGATGGTGCTACAAGCCAAATCTAAAGGCTGCTTTGCATTATCTGTGACCTTGCACCTTTAGTAATTTTAGTGTTAGTACTTTTTTCCTGTTTGCTTGTATGTTGTCAGTTTTAGATTATAGAGTGGTTCAAGTGCTGGAGCCCCTGTTGCTTGCTTGCTGCAGATCATGAACGAGTGCACATTTGTCAAACGGCTCACACAGCTTAGGATCAGTGGTTTAGCTTGATTACCTCTTTTAAGGACATGCCTGTGCTCTGCACACTGTTCACAGCAGCACTGCAGTTGGTGGGCAGTGGGGGAGGGGCAAGCTGGCTATACTATTTGCAGAACTCATTGTGAGCTATGCATGGCCTGTGTGAAAAGTATCTGTTGTGTTGAAATAAAGTCATTGTAATAGCAGTGACAATAAATTGTATTTATGATATTCTAATTTTACAAAGCGAAAGAAGAGAAAAAGAAAAAATAATTATATTAAAAGAAAAGCTTATATAAAATAATGCATCATTAAAAACAGGACATTAAACATTAGTGTGTGTGTGTACGTGTGTGTGCAGGTGGTGTTGATTCATCAAAGATAAAAGGAGACAGTGACATACGCATCTTCGTGGCCCTCTTCCCTTATGATCCTGCCACCATGTCACCCAATCCTGATGCTGCTGAGGAAGAGCTGCCCTTCACTGAAGGACAGATCATCAAGGTATGTCGACACACACAACTGTGACCCTACTGAATAAGCTCACCTTAACAGAACGGCTACAGCTCGCATAAGATTAGATATGCATACTGTAGGATCACATTACTTGTATATAATGACCCTCTCATGGTAATCTTGGAACATTTCTATTCTTTTTTTACACTCCTTTCCCCAGGTTTACGGAGATAAAGACTCAGACGGGTTCTACCGAGGAGAGTCTGGTGGTCGTCTGGGCTTTGTGCCATGTAACATGGTGTCTGAGATCCAGGTGGAGGATGAGGAGACCCGCCTGCAGCTGCTGCAGCAGGGCTTCTTGTCCACAGCGGCCTCCATGGAAAAGATAGGTTGGTGAAACTATTAGTCACAGACTTATTAGCTACCTAAAGACATGCCTGTTGGCAGATTTCATGAATTCTAATTATGTTATGTGCTGTTAAATGTGTTCTGGTGCTGTACAAATTGGTGAAAATTGCAATATTTATACTCATAATATCACAGCTGTTCATGTGTAAGTGGTAAATGAAAATAGCAGCTCGAGTGTGGCAGAATCCAGACCTGTCCCATTATTTAGCTTATTATTCAGATTCAAATTATTCAGACTTTGCTAGTCTTCAAATTGGCCAGCTGTATAAAGAGACACATGGGCATCTTTTTGTCTGCAGTTGATTGGAGAAAAAATGAAAGCTGTTTTCCAGATGAAAGGAGGGGGAGTTAAAGCTCCCTCTGGCCTGTTGACCTTTTGAACCAGCAAGGAAGCACATAGAAAGCTCTCATCAGATCAGGCTAGACTATTTTGGTTGAACTAAATTAAAATGGACCCTTAAAATGTTCCCTGTGGCATTACTTAGAATGTTTTATGGGCTCTTGTTCACTGAGTTACTATTAAGCAAATCATAACCATCTACTGCGTTTTCATGCAGGCGACTAAAAAAAAAACAACACTTAAGTCGAAGTGTTTGCCTGCAGTGAGTGGTAGTGAGCCACCCAGCAAAACGAAGCTGACACTTTCCTTCTGTTTCCTGCTGTCTACCAAGAGCAGTATTTGCAGATGGTTTAACCTTTTCACTTCCACTTGTTCTCACTGCTGTGTCTGCTGCTCACTGGTTGTCATTTTATAAATTGCTCTTCACTGGCTTTTCATTGTCTACTTTGTCTGCTTCTCTCAAAAAAATGCACTTTTGTGTTTCTTTTTGGTTTCAATTTTGTTTATTTTGTTGATTTTCCTTTCTAAAACTCCATAAAGGCACTCGCACACACGCACAGCTTCCCCGTCGCCCCGTTCCACCGCCGAAACCGAGACGATCCAAGAAAGGTGTGTCTCGCTGCAGATTGTGGCTTCCCACCTCACTCCTTTATTCTCTTCTCTGGTTTGCTTCTCTTTCTGTCTTTTTCACTTGAGCTTTTGCTCTTTCAGTTGCTGCTTCTCACTCAGCGACCAGGGGGGATTTTTAGGCCAGCTACTATAATGTAGTCAGGCAGCTTCCCAGCATTATGGTCAAATTTTACCACTATCTATACTGTAGGCCTTCTCTACAGTAGTTTCATATTCTATTGTTAAAGTCTAGTGTTACATTTTCTTTCTTAGTACTTACAGGCTCCTTAGAGTTACTTCATCTTTCCACAGGGTCACTTTTTGATGATTTTGATTTTGTCAATAACACCAGTGCAACTACTTCATGAATGCTAAAAGGCACACATGAATACTGAGTCAGTCCTGTCAGCCTTCATTGGATATTCATGTGATACAATCCAGACATAGCAGCAGAATGTGGTCTCTTATTGATTGATAAAAGAAAGTCTGTTTGCTACTATTCTGCTCCCATGTCGCAGATGCATTACATGAGCCCCTAGTTCACTTGTTGAAACAGCATCCCCTCTGATCTCCATCTGTGGCTTTGTGTTCTCCGGTGTGATGACTGAGACATGCTGAAGCTTCAGACAGGATTATTCTTTGGCCTCTGAGATCTCATGTCGTTCTGTGATTGTGCTTGTGCTCTTTTCCCTCACCTCATCTCTTCCAGTGGAGTCTGCGGCACTCTGGGACGAGAGCGTAGACTCCTCCAGCCAAGGTTCGTTGTTAGAGCTTTGACCCTCTGCCTCTCTGCTTTCACCTGCATGATCAGACGACCGTTTCAACGTCCACAGGAGGACAGCATGTGTTTACTTGCCATTTTGTGACTTCTTCTTTTATTATTGTAAACATGAGGACTGTATTCTACATGCTGATAACAGCAGGGCCAGCCTTCATTCATCCTTATTAGGGACTGTTTGATTATTTGGGGGTATAATGAAAGATTTTGACCATTTTAAGTTCATCAATAAAGGAAGGAAAAATTGAAAAATTGAAAAATTGTGTTGGAAAGCTTACGTCCTTAAGTTCTTCATTGTCCCCCAACAATAAATGTCAGGCAGTCCCTTTTCCTAACTTGTCTTTTCATTTCACAGTTCAAGTGGCTTCATTTAATCATCAAATAATTTCATTTTCACTAACAGTGTTGCAAAGAGTTACAATCTTCATCCCATATGTTTGCTCTGATCGATGTTTAAAGACAACAGCACAGCTTAAGCTGTTACGACCTTTTTAAAAGAAGTAAAAAAATGCTAACTCTCACTGATAATCTCGTGTTGTTGTTTTTATTTTCATTTTCACGTTTGACTGCAGTGGTGTGACTTTGCCTCAGCTTAGCATGACGCTGAGAGGTGTCGGACATGGCAGACATGATGAGCTGCATGCTGATGGGCTGACTGGAATTGCGGAGACGCGTTACTCCTCTAATTATCAGGATGTCAGACCATAATGTTTGCCCCTCTCTGTTTGATTGACAGATCCCAGCCAGACTCCCACCGCTGCTGCTGCGGGGAACCCAGCACCAGGAGCTCGCAGGATGGTCGCCATCTTTGATTATGATCCACGAGAGAGCTCCCCCAACACTGACATAGAGGTCAGACTTTTACATGCATAATATACAGTGTGTGTGTGTGTGTGTGTGTGTGTATATATATATATATACACACACACACACTCATTATCTGCCTCTCTGTTTATAACTGGGTTCAGGCTGAGCTGACCTTCAGTGCAGGAGACATCATACATGTGTTTGGTGACATGGACGAAGATGGCTTCTTCTACGTAAGTCTTAACATACTGTAATCTGAAATTTGGAGTGGTTTGTTTTTAGCGTGAGATGATGGATGAGCTCTTATTTTTGCACCGTGCATGAAGCTCTTATTGTGATTTATTCTAAAAAAAAATAAAAACATTGTTAAAACTGCAGAAAAAAATGCAAGAGGAGTTCTTCCAGAAAACAAATCTACATAAGAATAATGAAATAAGATAAGACTTTATATGGGGAAATATGATAATAAATATAATAATAATAAATAATAATAATATAATATACTAAATATGACTTGAATTTCTGGTTTCTTTAACAATTACATAAATAATAGCAGTCTATGAATTTAGTTGAATTACAGTCCTGCTGTTAGAAGATGTTCTTGTGTCTTAATGTTGCATTCTTCTACCAGGGAGACTTGAATGGACACAGAGGCTTAGTACCCTCCAACTTCCTGCAGGCCTTACCAGAAGATGCTCCAGTAGAACCTCTCTCTGCTCAGCCTGCACCAGAACCCAGGAAAGAATCACAGGTAGTTAGCATTTCTATCTATCCAGCATGTACTGCATGATATGGAACTGCAGACAAACTCATTTCATCAGTCATTTTGACAAATCACTGACTTTTTTGACTGAATTTTTTTATCTCTTGCACATATTTCCAGAGTCTGCATTCTGTCATTTTGGTTTCTGTTTGTTAACATTTCTTTTGCCCCACTGTTTCCTGCATGGCCTTCTGCAGAAGCAAAAACGATCTGTACACTTTGAGACTTGATCGTAAGTGTTTTTAGATAGGACTATAGCAGCTCATTGATCAACACTAGTATCCCATGCTCACCCGCTGTTTATATACTCCTTCCACCTTAACTGTAGTTCTACAATACTCCTTTGTATAGGATCCTGCACCTACCGATTGTTTTAGTTTATCAAAACACAGGTCAAAAAATCTCCAATCCCCTTCCTTCTCCTTTGTGTGCCCTGTCCTTGTGTTTCCCTTGGTATTATGAAGCAAACTAAGCTTTAGATATCCTTTAATTTGCATCAAGTGTACAATGTATTTGAAATGCTCATTCTAAAAGTCTTACTTTGTTCCTGAAGGGTACCCGGACTTCTTCTACAGAGCCTCAACATCCAGGGCCCTCAACATTAGAAGAGGCTTTGCACCGCCAAACAGAACCTCTCCCTGACCCAATAGAGGTCACAGACCTGCGACCCAAACTGGCACCCACTGCAAGCCCCACGTCAGACCTTGACCCCGGTCCAGGTCCAGCTCCAGATCCAGCTTCAGGTCCAGCTCCAGCTGCAGCAGAGGCCTGCTGCTCCCCTCCAGCCCCCCTTCCAGCAGCCAGCCTGACACAGACAGACTGTTCTGCACAAGGCAAGAAGAAGAAAGGCTTTTTCTCCAAAGGCAAGAAGCTGTTCAAAAAGCTGGGATCCAGCAAGAAAGAATGAGAGTCAGGACATCTGACTCCAAATACGTCCAAAATTCGCGTCACATTGAAAGCACTTTTTCTATCTTCACTGTTAGTCTCAGTTGGTAGTCAGCGTGGTCAGTGGCTATCAGATCCTTTATAAATTATGGATTTGCCTTAGAGCACTGCAAGACCGGCTGTTCAATTTAGACTTTACTTTAAAACATCAACATACAGCTTACAGTAACACAAGAGCATGTAGAAGTGCATGCAGAAGTGTGCAAACTCACAAATATATTCTCTAAATACTTCCTAATTATCTAAGCGTAAGCAAATGTTTAGCTCAGTAAAGGCTTTAATGCTTGGTATAAAACACTTAGTTAGTCCCCAATGGATCAGGTTCATTTAGAGAACTCTGATATAGAGCGATGTTGGACAGCAGACCAGACTTCAGCCCAGCTCAGACACGGCTAATTAAACATTAGCTTTAATGCTCATGTACTGGTGCCACTTTATTTATTTGAAGCAAGCGAACAGAAGCAGCAGTCCCTCTCTTCCTCTGTGTGACTATAATGCACTATCCATTCTGAATGGATGTATTTTAAATATCTCTCTGCTTGTCCCTCACATGCGTTTCTTGTCTTCAAGAGTATTTATACAGCACTTTGTACAGAACATGTTATTTATTTGTATCAGACTCTTGCCCTAATCATCACCACATTGCATGAAGTAACATAAGGGCAGGAGGTTAGTTATATAGAGCTGTCAGAGACAGTGATGAGCCACTTTGTTATGTGTAGTTTTAATTTAATGTAATTGGGGTTTGAGGTTAACAGTCAAGGTATTTATTGAAGTTGAACATACTGGTAAATATAAAGAATGTGAAGGGGGGCCCTTCTTGTGGGTGTGTGGGTGGGTTGGTGGTGGGTTAAGGTAAAGCTGCCCAGTCCACTGGTGAGACTGAAAACAAATGCCTTTTTTCAGACATTAACGCGGAAACTCTACTCCTGATGTTTGTGACAACCGTTGCACCTGGCCTAAATGTTGCGGACAACATATTTTCTGTCTGTGTGTGAGTGTGTGAGAGAGAGACCTGCTGCGTGTGCAGAAATGATGTAGTGTCTAGTGATCGGTAGGCTGCTCTGTTAGCTAATAGGGCTGCAACTGATGATTATTATAAAATCATTATCCATTCCTAGTTTTTGGATTAATAATTTGAGCTGTAAAACAAATGGCCGTCGCAGTTTTCTTACAGCCCAAGATGGTCATCAAGGGTCTTCAGATCCAGATCAAAACTCAAAAGATATTTGATTTACTAAAATGGAAGACAAGGAAAATCAGCAGATTCTCACACTTGAGAACATAAATCCATCAAACATAAATATTGTGTGTATATGAATGGATAGAGGAGAATATTGACCATGTGGATAGACGTTGTGAGCCTTATTACTATCTAAAAAAACCCATCTATATTTGAACAACATGAAAAAAGTTAATATTAATGGATTTTCTCACTCCTATTCTTGTTATGGAACTAGAGTTCTAATAACTTGATATGAAGAGGAAGTACAATGTTGCCATGCAGTCAGTTAGCTGTTAGCTAACTTCAGCCCTGTTGACATATTGACACTATTAATAATATGTTTGTATCTTTCCTATGGATGTACAGACAACTATCACTAGATTACTTAGATTAGAGTGAAGCTGTGTCCTGATTGCGGGTTACACCGATAACCACAGCAGCCTGATGCTAAACACACAGTCTGTAAGCTTGTGGGATACAGTGGGGTTTGACCGGCGCATGTTGGGTGTTTTTACATAGAACACAGCGAACAGGAACATAACAACTGCAATAAGTTTTTTTTTATCTTTTCTTTTGCCTCCATGTTATAAAGAAGCTCAACGTGTGTGTGTGTGTGTGTGTGTGTGTGTGTGTGTGTGTGAATATTGGGTGAGACCGGCTACACGGTGTTCCAACATCTTCATCAGCCCACGCAGTGTAGTGGTGATTTGTTTAAAGCAACTTGAGCAATATAGTGTATTGTGTACTGCAATGCTAGAACTAAAATAGAGCCATTCTCTATCTTTTAATGGTTTGTGACCGTTTAGCTTTGAACAAGTATTTTGTTTTGATGTGACTACGTGGACCAGGCCTTAGCATTCAGTTTGTTAGTCGGTTACAACGCATGCAGTGATCGTTCACTCGCTCTGATTGGATCTTTTATCTGTGTGACACAGGGCTGTTAGGTAACTTCTCAGGTTTTCACTTGTAGTTTCTTATTAACGCTGAGCCACCTGTTGACTCTGGCTGTCAAGAACTGCAGAATATGCCAAACTCTTAGGTGCTTTGCCTGTTACCATAGCTATGAGAGACCCAGCATCCGGCAGCATGGGGACATTCGGCGGACTGTAATCTGGGTCAAAGCGTTTGAAGAGGGTTGTTTTGAAGATCAGACCTGCTTTCACTCACGTTGAAGTTTTAACACGTGGGTAGATGGAGTCACACCTGATCACACAAGTTGGAGGCACATTTTGTTTTTCTTTAATGTCATGATTGTTTGAATTGTTTCGTCAGTGTTACATAAAGGGAGCATGATGATGCCAAGAATAAAAGGGAGGTGAGAACAACAAAGACACTTTAGATGTGAGAGTAGCCGGGATAGAGGCAAGACTGAGGCTGTACTGTATGTATTGTTTTATTTAAGCTTATTTTTTTTTTTTTTTAAGGGCAGAGGGAGGGTGGACACTCAAAAGTTGCCGAAATGTACAGCGAATATTTGTACTGATCTTGTATTTGACGGCCTTTAATGCACAAGTATTCCTCTACCTGCTGTGTAGTGAGTAGGCAGCTCCACTGTTGACTGATTAGGACCTAGACCCATATAGGTAGTGTTTTAGCTCAGTTGATCATATTTAGCCTTACAAGAAGACCTTGTTTAGTCTTAATATGTTGTTTACAGGATGTTTATTGATTGCATGCATACCAATGTTATACCCATGTTCGGCCTTATTTATGTTACTGTCATATTTGTGTTTTTCTAGGCTGACGAGTCTACAATATTCGACTTGTAGATTGTCAGTGCAGTGGAAAGGACTCAGTAGGAGCTGTCTGTATATAATGGACAGCGTTGGGTCTTGTGAGATATTTTCATACAATGCGGGACACTTCTTTATTTAGGTTTTTTTTTTGTCTTTCCTGACCTGAATTCATTATTTGAAACCAGTGGAAGATTTACCTTTTTATATATTCATGTTTTTATTACCCTTTTGGAAGCTCATCTGTAAATATTTTTGTTAATATTGTTTTTCAGATTTTTGTTTTTGTTTGTTTGGGGGGAGGGGTTTGTTTTGTTTTGTTTTTTTTGTTGTTTTTTTTGCATGTCCGGGCATTGTCAATGGAGGAACAGTAACTAAAGATGTAGTGCACAGAGGACTCGTTGACTTGAAATTGTGATGGTTTCTTTCACTATGGATCTTTTTACAGGAATAAAGTATGTATATTTTCACAGAAAACACGTGAGTCTGCGGTGTGGTGTGCATGTTGTGTTCCTGGAAAGTTACCACAAAAAAAACTTGGTTTTTATGTTTTAGATTTTCATCTTTATTTTGTATCATACAGATTACACATCATATGTATATGCTTATCTCTTTGTTTTTTATTTCTCAGAACAGTTTCAACAGATGAATTGTAAAATAGAGGAAAGAGTTGCAAGCTTTGCTCTGCGCCACACACCACCCATGTGAACTGACTGGGGCAACACTCTGGGTAATGCGTGGCCTCATGAGACAAAGCAGCTTCCTCTTTTCTGACTTCCTGCTCAGACTCCATGCCGGGCCTCTCCTCTCCCTGAAGCCAACAGTACACTCATCCATAAAGTAGGAAACACTACACTGTGGCGAGGAGTTTAGTAGTGCTTTCTACTTTATGGATGACTGCACTGTACATCCACCGTTCGTCTTCCGTCTTCTGTCTTCTCCCACTTCTGCTCTTCTTCTGCACCTGCGCTTGCATCTGCAGCTGCACACAGACGCACACACACACCAACCCCCGCCCCAGACACACACTTCTAACACCAAACTGAAACCACTCAGCTCAGTGCACACACCCTAACAGACGTCGCTTTTGGCAAGCCAGAAAATGCACACTTCCTGATTTGCCTTGGAACATTTGCATGAATTGTTTTCCAGACAGATTGTTCAAATCCGAGCGAGGCCTGTTAACATTTTCATACAGAGAACAAAAATCATCCAAAGGGCCCAGCCTGTATGCCTCAAACTGTTCGCGCTGAGGCAAAAGTCACAACTAAGCGGCTTGCCAGAGGAAGCGCTATCTTGGGGAAGCCATTTTTGCAGGCATGAGTAAGCTTTTCTGTCTGTGCAACAGATCACTTGGTACATTCATGAAGAAGTCATGTAAAAGAAATGCAGACATCTGTTATCATATCAGAAACAAAGAGGAGCGAATGCAAAGATCCAGTAAGTACATCAAACACTAAACAAATAAATACTATTACACAAGCAAAAAAAGATTGTTCAGTTTTGGGTAAAATTATTTTGGACTTCTGAGTAGAGGTCACTTGACCTGAAGTTAGATCTAGAAATGTAGAGTTAATGAAGTAAAATCAGGAACACTGGTGTATCTGTCATTACCTGACCGGTAAAAAGTATTTTTTTATCGTGTCGCCTTAAATAATTCTAGCATTAAATAGTCAACGTCGTCCATCATACTTTACCAGAGTCTTCATGTGTTTTCTCGGTTTAAAGTGGCGATTGTCCGGCAGCCTCACAAGGTGTCTTCTGTCTGTCCAAGGAGTGGGTGAAGAAGAAGAAGTTGTCTCCTTTTGAACCCCTCCACAGCCACGTGATGCAACCACAGGAAGAGGTCTAACAGTCACAGCCGCTCTCTTTCTCTTCTTCCGTCTTAGCTCTCTGCAGACTTTTTTTTTTAAATGCTGACAGCAACCATGAAGATAATTTGTCCCAGACAGTACAGCTTCTTAATGACACAAACTACACGGGAAACAAATACACTCTCAACATTTGAGATTTTTTTGTGTTTACCACAAACATCCCAGATTTCCTTTTAATAAAGTCTTAATCATCTTCAAATCAAATTCTTTTAAGGGGCAATGTTTCCATCTGGTGATGCTGTACTGCAAGCCATGATGTCATTTATACTCGTGTAGACATTCTTTAGCTTCATGCAGTCTTGTCCACACTGCAATTTAAAGTTGGGTAATCAGCTCATAATGAAGTGCAGAGAGAGGTTACAACACACAGTGTGAGCACATCTGTAGTCTTCCCATCAGGTCAATGTGAACTATTTAGAGTGTTTTTTACATTTATATTTCACATTCATTTTGTTTTATTAACAGTTTCATGGTGTGTGTGTGTGTGTGTGTGTGTGTGTGTGTGTTTGATATGTACAGTATTTTAAGGATACTTCCTTAGATCATTTTTTACACGCTTTGAGCATGCCCGTTTAGATTTCTGCATGAGTAACTGCTTGGACGACAAAGAGACGCAGGAACGCTCGGCTGAGTACATCAAGTACCTGATGAGTAAAACAGTTCATGTGAGATGATGGTTTAACTGATAATCGGACTTTCCTTTGCTAAAAATGATCTCTCAAGTGTATTTACTGTTAAAGAAGAGTTAATCATGAGTGATAAGTGTTTGTTCTTTTTGACTGAAGCGAGGCCCCACTACCTCAGGCGGTGTAAAAAAGATAGAAGCTACAGGATGTGCGGTACGGCAGCAGTGTTGTGAACTGTATAAGGGCATTTTTAATTTCAGTTTGTTCAGAATGAAACAATTTGAGCTGAAATCAGTTGTAAGACACATCATTAAAGGATAGGTTCACATGTTTTCAAGTGTCTCTTAAAATGATCACATGCTTGCAGGTACATTCAAAGGGTTAGTGGTTGCTGTAATTGTTCTTCCTGTCCATACTGGTCCGAAAGAGATCCCTAAAGCAATTTCAGTGAAATTAATGGGGGGACAAAATCCACAGTCATCACTTTAGAATGGATTTTGACACAGAAGGAGAATTGCAGATCACTTAACATTGTAATTGCATTAAGAGAGGATCTCTTTGCAGCAAGTATGAACAAGAGAAACAATTGCATAGAACAAATGGACATGAGGGCATGTGAGAACAGTTTTAAGATGAACTTGAAAAAAATGTGACCCTATCCTTTAATGTGAAAATCAAATTTTTTTTTTCACCTGCGTTCTCTTGTTCAAAGCACGACTTGTTTGCATGTGGAGAGACATTTTTGTCACTTTGATTACCATTACCTTTCTGTTGGTTTCTAAAGTGAAAGGCGGAAGGTTTCAATTCCCCGATAATGTAAATGTACAACTGTAACCGCGTGGTTTCTCAAAATGCAGGTCACTGTGGACAATGAATTAAAGTCACTGTATGCTGTATGTACACTCTACTAAACATGCAGCCCTACAACCCTAGTTGTATCAGTGAAATCAATGATCAAATGTATTCAAATAAGAGGCTGCTCATACTCATATATGGGCCACTGGTAGTAAGAGCAACACTTTATTTTAACCTCTTTACAACCACAGTATGGATGTTTTAGAAAGTATTTATTGTTAGTGTGCTTCTTATAGATGCTGAGGGGATTCAAGTGTTACTGCAGTAAGATATGCAAAAAAGGTTTGGGGCACTTCCCTTTGCATTATTTTTAGTCCTCACACAGGCTCCTTCTTATTTCTCTTATTCGTCCTTTCACAGGCTTTTCTGGCCTAATAACTCCTGTATCAATGTAGTAATGTAGTGCTTTATTTGGTGACATATCTGACGATTTTACCTCACGGTTATTTTAGTGGAACCATGTGAGAAGTTTAAAGGAGTAATCACTGGTTTTTGATGGAATTGCTAACATCTCAGTGAGAAATGTACTTTCCAGCCCTGGATTTAAGTTCAGTGTGTGTGCAGGGTTCAGATGCATTCTCACAGTTTCCCAATGAGGGCTTGAAACAGCATTGGTGTGTATTGAAAAGAAAGTGTGTTATAATAATGGGTTATAACTTTATTCCCATGACTTCTATTACTGTCGGGCATTGGGCCTACAGAATGTAAATGTATGAGTGTGTGTGTGTGTGTGTGTGTGTGTGTGTGTGTGTCCGTCCACTACACAACAAAGGCATCAGACATAAGATGACACGGTTATAATACAAAACTCATAAAAGATGGGGAAGGTGACGGTGCACCAGATAAACATTAGAGAAACGCGTGTTGTGCCTAATACTGTGAAACACACGCACCTCATGTTTAATGTCCCGTATGAGTTGCAATAAGGCTAAACAGGAGCTTACTGTATGAGGATTCTGGGTATTCGTCTATTTATTCATATTAAAGGCAAGGGTCACTCACGATGCTCCATTTACAAATAAAACAATCCCGTATGAAGACTTGTTGAAAATAGCCAGCATATGGTGTCTTTAAAAGCCACACTTTTTTTGTTTGCCTTTAGCCCTCCAATCTCCTGACCCCCTGTCCTGCGTTTTACTAATCCCTGCCCTCAGTCAGTCCACTCAAGAGCTGCTGCTACATCTGGCAGACGACCACTAGTGCCTGTGCATGTGCCAGTAGGGAAGTGATCCTAACTCCCTGTGTGAAGAGTGTACTGGGGCCTTCCCAAGAACCACGCTGCCTCTCATGATAGACCTTATCTGCGCCGGCAGCCATTTCCCCTCCCTGCCTGCGCTTTCCAAGCTCCCCCCTGGGCCGACACCTCTGAGCTACCCAACAGCTTACATCCCTCCCTCCATTTTTACACTACTTTATACTTCTACTCCACTACATTTCAGAGGGAAATGTTGTTCTTTTCACTCCCCTACATTTCTCCTCTAAACTACTCAGATGGTGTCATTCTACCCTCCTGTGTCTCGGCTCATTATGGTTAACTGGTATAAAGTATAAAGCTGCCAGGAACCCAGATTACAAGAATGATGACACAGATGCCTATAAAATTGCCCCTTTGGAGGGGCCCGACCCTCAGGTTGGGAACCACTAGACTGAACTACCCCACTGCAAATAAAGTACTTGAAAGTAGCTCCTAAAATGCTGCATGAACGCATCAGTGTTAACAATGTAACAGTGTCATATCTTATGTCAGTTACAGGGATGGAACAAGCACTTTTATTTTGAAATTGAAACACAATTTGCTGATAATGCTTCTGATCTTTGAAGTATGACTTTGCAGGACTTTTACTTGCGATGTGTTATTTTTACATACTTGTGTGAGTACTTCAGTCAGTAAGCAAAGGACCTGAGCACTTCTCCCACCACAGCCGAGCACCAAACTGAACATGCAATCACAAACTCAAGCGAGGGAACGGGTGCTGACACTGTGAAGCAGACGCCAACATTTATAGAAGGAATTGAAATCCTTTTATTTATGACAAGCTGCTCTCGGTTCTGTAGCTGCCCATGGCCTGCAAAAGAGAGGAAGTTTTGTCAGCCTTATGAAACACACACACACACACACACACCAGTTTAAGTGTGTGTGGCCTACTGTTGATAATGTCCATCCCTCATGTGAAATACATCCCCTTACTTCCCTATCTCCACTTTATCCCTGTCAGGCAGAGCAACTTTCAAGACTGAGTTGAAGAAACCTCCACTTGCTTTTTCCTTTTTTTAACAGAGCTCACCAAGAAGTGACTCAAAAACACATAAACCTTGAGTCAACACCTTGTTTTCTGATCTAATACTTTCCCTTATACTGAAAGCCTGACATATCTATGCCCAAATAAGGGCAAAAGCCATAGCTGTGAGCACCAATGAGGCCGTGGCAGACAGGCCTGTGTGTCCCTGTGAGTGTGAAACTGAAGGGCGTGCTTCGCTGAGCTCTGCTTCACTTCACTCAGATGCTGGTAAAAAACACTTGATGTGTAGAGGGGCAGCACATGGGCGGAGCTGAAAGCCTTCCTGACACCGCCTGTGGTTGTGGAAGTCTTGCAGCACCGAGGCGAGTTCTCGGTTTTGTTTTTAGTTTGCAGCTCTCGTGAAATGACGTTCACCTGCATGTAGTATGGAGAGAAAAGAAGGTGGTTCAAATCACAGGGTGGGGAGGGGTGATTTTTTTTAAAACTGCACTTTAGAATGGTACCCTTTTGTTTTACACAGCAGAAAGGGGTTCAGACTCATTTAAATGTGCACCCAGTTGTGCACTGAGTTAGGAAAACCCACACGGAGGCGTACAGACGCTTGTGGTTTATTTCTCATTTGACTATAAACTGTCTCCAACCACTGCAGGTAGATTCTCAGTCCTAAAGTCTCTGTTCCGCTTGTGATGGAAAGAATGAGAAATGTTTAATGTTCTGTACATTTGATATAATATATTGCTTTTTTGATTTGGACATTTTTCTGTTCTGCTTTTGAGAAGGAAAATATGAGCTCTGTTCAAAACTGCAGTGACAGTTTATTAAACCAAGTGGCTGACTGCACATGCAGTGTGTCTGACTTCCAGGCACCTGGCAGACAGCATGATGGCTATCGGATTAAATAGTGACTCTACATGTCTGCACATGAATGTTTTTATCTCCATGTTGGGGCTCACAAAGGGGGTGGTATTCCAGCATGCACTGGGCAGGAGATGGAGAAATTATCTGAATAGATTATTATTACAGGAAAGATTGAGCTTCACAGTGGTGCAGGGACAACAACCTCTTCTCAGTTTCCAAAGCTGCTGTTTGGTCATAGTTATCCAACGAAGGTTGAGGTCAAGGACAAGTGGAGTTGGTTGAAGATACTAGAAGACGTTTTGTGCCTCATCCAAGAGACTTCTTCAGCTCTTCTCAGTACCTCAAAAACAACGGAAATAGCTGGAGCTCTCAGGAGGAGGACAAACATCAACCCATAACCCTGACAGACTCCTTCAAATTCCTCGGCACCTACATCAGTAACTCTCAACAACATCAACCACGTCATCAGAAAGGCCCAGCAAAAGACTGCACTCCCTCAGGCACCTGAAGAGGTATCATGTAAAGAAAAACAACCCATTTGACCCACTTCTATAAAGCCATCATAGAGAGCATCCTGACATCATCTCTCACAGTCTGGTATGGCAGCTCAGACAGTCACACCGAGAAAAACTGGAGCAAATTGTCCCTAAAGCCTCCAGCATAATTGGCTGTGACCTTGCCCCAGTCAATTCCCTGTGTATAAAGTGCACCTTCAACCGCGCAGGTAAAACAACGAACGCTCACACCCAGCCCACCACCTCACTCATTCCACACAGACTGATATATTTCAAATGTTCAGTCCTTTTAATTTTGATGATTATAACTGACAACTAATGAAAACTGACTTGCTGACTTGACAGCTGTCCAAAAGACGACCATTGACACCTTGCACAAGGAGGGCCAGACACAAAAGGTCATTGCTAAAGAGGCTGGCTGTTCACAGAGCTCTGTGTCCAAGCACATTAATAGAGAGGCGAAGGGAAGGAAAAGATGTGGTAGAAAAAAGTGTACAAGCAATAGGGATAACCGCACCCTGGAGAGGATTGTGAAACAAAAGCCATTCAAAAATGTGGGGGAGATTCACAAAGGGTGGACTGCAGCTGGAGTCAGTGCTTCAAGAACCACCACGCACAGACGTATGCAAGACATGGGTTTCAGCTGTCGCATTCCTTGTGTCAAGCCACTCTTGGACAAGACACAGCGTCAGAAGCGTCTCACCTGGGCTAAAGACAAAAAGGACTGGACTGCTGCTGAGTGGTCCAAAGTTATGTTCTCTGATGAAAGTAAATTTTGCATTTCCTTGGAAATCAAGGTCCCAGAGTCTGGAGGAAGAGAGGAGAGTCCAGTGTAAAGTTTCCACAGTCAGTGATGGTTTGGGGTGCCATGTCATCTGCTGGTGTTGGTCCACTGTGTTTTCTGAGGTCCAAGGTCAATGCAGCCGTCTACCAGGAAGTTTTAGAGCACTTCATGCTTCCTGCTGCTGACCAACTTTATGGAGATGCAGATTTCATTTTCCAACAGGACTTGGCACCTGCACACAGTGCCAAAGCTACCAGTACCTGGTTTAAGGACCATGGTATCCCTGTTCTTAATTGGCCAGCGAAATCGCCTGACCTTAACCCTATAGAAAATCTATGGGGTATTGTGAAGAGGAAGATGCGATACGCATCAGAGCAACCTGGGCTCTCATAACACCTGAGCAGTGCCACAGACTGATGGACTCCATGCCACGCCGCATTGCTGCAGTAATTCAGGCAAAAGGAGCCCCAACTAAGTACTGAGTGCTGTACATGCTCATACTTTTCATGTTGATACTTTTCAGTTGGCCAACATTTCTAAAAATCCTTTTTTTGTATTGGTCTTAAGTAATATTCTAATTTTCAGAGATACTGATTTTGGGGTTTTCATTAGTTGTCAGTTATAATCATCAAAATTAAAAGGAATGAACACTTGAAATATATCAGTCTGAGTGGAATGAATGAATACATTATAGAAGTTTCACTTTTTGAATGGAATTACTGAAATAAATCAACGTTTTGATGATATTCGTATTATATGACCAGCACCTGTATATACAGAATATTTATTGTACACATTTTCCTTTAGTGAGCATTTTAGTGGTTTATGTTGCCTGTTTTGTTTTATTGAGTTATAATCTTTCTCTCTGACATTTTTTTTCATTTAGCTGATGCCTTTTATTCCAAAGCGACATACAATTGCTTCATATGTCAGAGGTTGCACGCCTCTGGAGCAGCTAGTGGTTAAGTGTCTTGCTCAGGTACATTGTTAGCGGCTGTGTCACAGTGGAGGAATCTAACCCAGGTCTCTCACCAAAAGGCTTGTGTCTTATCCAACGCGCCATCGCTAACCACACTCTCTTTCTCTTTGCACTGAAACTGATCTTCCATGCAGTATGAAAACAAGAACCACCAACACTGTTGTGTGGCAATAAGAAATCACCTATCTATCAATCTATCAAACAGCCACTAACACTTCCTTTTTACACTTTCTGTGTCTCTGGTCTACCTGAGCTGCATGTCATTTTTTATCGCACAAACACAATGTTCACAGAGCAATATGCCCTCTTTTAACTTTCACATTGGTCCTTCACTTGGGACAACATTTTTTTAATAATACTAATAGTAAACTTTATTTATACAGCATTTCCAAACAAACTTATAAGGTTCTTTAGACAGGCAGACTGAGATTGGTTACTTTTTGTTTGTCGTCAATGCACATGATGGTGAAATGTGCCAAAAGTTGCACGTTCATCACCATGGAAGCTCAGTATTAAATTTAAAAACTTAATTCTGGGGTTCCATGAGAATACTCAATTAATACATACAGTCTATTCACAACGGGAAAAACCTACATCACACATTAATGTCTACCTAAAATTAACAAAGTTGACAGCTTCTTGCCATTGTGGTCATCCTTTATATAGCCGGGGTCAGGATAGGTTAAACATTACTGAGACATTTTTCAGATCACTACACGAAATTAAAAGACAACAATAACAAATGGGATGAGAGGAGGCCAAAGCAAGGGCTAACTTTAGCGTAAGGCGGCTTTGGAAGGTATTGAAGACGAGAGTGCCTTTCCGTTGGTTCAGCAGTTTCCACAGCTGCTGTTGTTGACTTTGACCTCTGACCTTGTTGTGGCAGAGGAGGGGGAAACAAAAACCCTCATAGAGGTTCTACAAGCATCACACTTTCTTGAACAACAGTGCCCCTGCATGCTAATTTTCCTAGTAAGCTTGATGAGAAAATGAGCACTGCACATTATGACTAATCAATTATCCACTCTAAGTGTTCAATTGAAATTGTTTTTGAGATATGTGAAATTGTAATTTAGAACCGGGCTCAGAGCTAGTTTCCTGAAAGTCACCCATCAGTTATCTGCACTCTAGCGCCACTGATTACAGTAAATGAGCCTCAGAGATCTGTTGATGCAGATAAGTTACAAGTTACGAGTGCAAACTAAAGAGGGTGAATAGAGATGCGAGTGAGCGTTTCTATTAAATAAAATACCTACTTAAAACTACCTGAGTCCTCACAGACTGTTCCCGCCTGTTTCTAGTGAAAACCTGGTTGTCAAGGCCTGCAATGTGCCTCTCCTACACATCCTGCTGTACAAGACACCTTCTCAAAGCAGCATGGTTGCAGCAGGTTTACCACCTCGTCTTTCTCTTGAGATTTGCTTTCGTTGTAGAGATCATGTAGTAATCATCAGAACAGAGTCAGAAAATCTCCTCCTGACATATTAATATTGTGTAATTTAGGTGCTACTTCATTATTTGTTACAGGAAAACAAGAACAAAACTAGTATAGCTGTATCATTTTAGGTCTGTACAGAAAAATAAAGTGAGAGATGTTCCTGCATAACTGGGACAGCTTCCCTGCATATCCTATGATAGGAACAATTAGTTTAGTTTTCACCTCATGTTATTTTACTTAATTTAAACCACCTGTTCAGACTAAATATTAACTTATTTTTGTGGGGGCAAATTCTCATCACTCTTATCTAGAAGTCGAAAGGTAGCCCTTTGAATTGATTTAAATTTAAGGTGTGTGTATTATATAATGTGTCAGTTGTGACCTGGCAGTACTATGATGGATAAAACCATCTGTGTCACTACACTAAACCATAACCTCAGTTGTTGTTTTTTTTCAGAGAGCAGTTTCACTAACCATGCCTTTGCAACAAAATATCAGCACCAGGTAGCATTGCAATGACACCCTCCTCTAAATTAGACAATAGTGAGAGCTTACTGTGCTCATTTACAAAGAATTAAAGAGTCCTCAGTTTGCATGACCCCGATCCATCAGGTTACAGTGAAATTAAGACAAAGCCTAGACCCTCTGGCAATAAACAAATACGCTTTCTTCTTAGACAGTAACATAAGGCAACAATAGTGCCACAGCTGAACAGTACCTGATACACACAGCAGCACAGGATGACAACATACAAACCTGAGATGTTATTACAGGTGTTGGCAATGCAACAGTAGCTACAGTAGTGACTGAAACTGGAAAGCACCTATAATATAACTGGAGAAGCGATCTGGCAGACAGTAAGTGTGTAAATGCAGTGAGTTTTACACCACTGATACTTTGGCTTACGGTTCCCCCTGCTGGCAATGTTTGGTAATGCATGTAATTTCGGTATTCTGTAAATAGCACCATCTTGTGACCCAAATTATTAAGTACAGGGACGTTTCATTTACCTCAACCCAGAAGTGATAGTCTGTGTAGTTCCTCCTCTCTGGTGTTTCAAACAGACAGTAGTAAAGTACTCTTGGTTCAGTGGACACTGGGACACCGGATGATTGAAAAGTTAATGGATGGCCAAACTTATTACAATTCATCCTGAGGTGAACGTGAATGACTGAAAAAATGCAAATGACTTTACAGATCTTTATTGTAAAGGGTTTAAACAATGTTTTTCCATGCTTGTTCAATGAACCATAAAAAAAAACAAATCAATGAACATGTGGAATAGTCATTAAGACCCTAACAGCATACAGCGGTAGGCAATTAAGGTCACAGTAATAAAAACTTGGAACACTAAAAAGACCGTTCTTCTGACTCTGAAAAAACACCAAGAGAAAGATGCCCAGGGTCCCTGCTCATCTGTGTGAACGTGTCTTTGGCATCCTGCAAGGAGGCATGAGGACTGCCGAGGTTGCCAGGGCAATAAATAGCAATGCGTTTACTGTACAGCTGATCATCCAGGCAGAGTCAGACCACATGTGATCACACCTCCACCGGACCCCACCAGATACTGATTGTTACTTTTGATTTTGTGCGATTTTGTGTGATCTTTGGCACTGGGACACCTAAGAACATATCTGTGCAGTGTTACCAGTCTACTGAATAACATACTTCTTTAAGAGTCACAGATTGCTTGGAATGAGAAGATGCAGACTTGCAGTCCTCCTTGGTGCACATTCCTGTCCATGAATCAGTAAATCTAATGGTGTTTGCAGCGTACGCATGTAAAATCAACTGATTTTATTTTACTCATTTCTTATAAAAAGAGCTTTTATTTTTTTCTCAATTATTCAAAGAAATAAAAAAAAAACATGCCCTATAAGCACTCTTGCTAATATTTCTAATCACAACAAAAACATCACAGACATGACAAAATTTAGTCCCACTGTTGTCGCTTCTTCCTGGAGCTGGTGCTGTGGTATGATGCCGGTCTGGTGTGGCTAACCACTGAAAGCAGTCACGTTTATGTCTTCACTGCTGTATCTCTGGATTTGTAGATCACTCCTCTGCTTTTCAACTCTCTCACCACACCTTCAGAAAAGGAGAACCATGTAAACAGCAGGCAAGTAAAGTGAATGTAATACTCAGTAAGGAAGGGATTCCAATCAAGAAAAAGCCAAGACATTTGCTTTATGCGTGTGTGTTTTGCTACATATTGAGGCAGTGGTTTGATATAGTGTACCTGGAGGCAGTCTGCCTGTCACTGACACTGCATATACACCTGGCTTGAAGTTGCCTGTAGGATCGAACAAACAATACACATTTTATGACACAAAAATAACTAATTGAAAATGATTTTTTTTTTTTAAATGAACAAATTACCACATGTGAAGTTGTGTGTGGTTCTATTTCCCCACTCTCATCAACACAGTTTCCAGCAACAACCGCAAACAACCTCGCATCCCAATAAATAATAATAAATCAATGAATAACAGACCGGCTGGCAAAGAAAGTGGTACATGTGGCACTTAAGAACAAGATATGTGCCTGGTTGCCCAAAACACGACTCTAATAGGATGATAATGTTGCTTTGTGTCTGCTGGATGTGTTAAGTTGGCAACTATTTATATCTCAGCTGCAACAACTTAATAAAACACATTAATGCAGATTTAAGTATAGGCATACACCCTTACCTATCCTCTGCCATTTAGCTACCCAACTGTCCTCAGGACTCATCATGGCTATTACACTGCAGACACAGAGACAGTATTCATAAACACAGGTGAAAGTTTTTGAATAATCAATACTAAAATCGATGCTTACCCATCAAACGAGGAACTTGTGCACTCATAAACCATCTCTCGGTTCCCCTTCATCTGAAGGTAGGACTCACAGTTGTCACAGCCGTCGTATTCAAACTGGTCAATAGTCTAAAGAAGAAGAAGAAGGAGGAGGAAGAGAGGGGAGAAGACATTTAAAGTAGGCTAAGACGCAAACTACTTCCGATACCAACAGACAGGGTTGGTTCTTAAATGCTTTACTTGGGTGTACCAAGACTACTTATAATCAGGGTCAACTAATCAACTAACGTGAAAACATATCGTTATTTGTGTTTTTGCGTTGACGGTATTTCTTTGAGTTTCCCTCAAACGTGACTTGTGAGAAGACGAACCTACTAAGATTAAGTGCCTTACTGTAAACGACTGTAGAAACAGTTCATCCGTCTATCGCTGGTATTCAGTAAATAAAATTCATCATGATAGCATTACTTTAAGTTTTAGTTCGTGTGTGAGATACAAGCAAAATACTGCGCAGGAAAGCTATACGTTAGCAGCTAGCTAGCTTCAGCGTTTCTTTCTCTCACTTCAGTTTACCTTTACTAAAGAACAAAGAAGACACGCTCGCAAATGGCGAAGGTCTTTGGGGACCGTTTCCAAAGCCATTATGTTAAGCTCTTCAGAGAAAATACAACTACAATAACGAAATATCAACACGATTAATGTTTGGAGTATTTTCCAGTCGCTGGGGAAATACGTCACCGTCTGTGTGGACCTTGTAGAGGACCAACACAGAGGCGTCCCCGCTGTGAGCCTGTATAAAAAAAAAATATTTATCTCTCATCATATAAAATAATCATCTCTGCTAAAGTACATTTGAGCATTTTGACTCCCTACACTTTATGATCCTGTATTCTCACGGACTTCCTCTAGATATCTGTTGAAATGATGATCATCTCCAACCAGAGCCCTTTTTATTTCATCCACACACAAAAGGTTTCCCTCTGACATCCATATTAATCATTACTTTTAACTATAATGTGTTATTTCAACTCCAATACCATTTAATTATGAACACATCTACAAAATTTCAAATATCACTGCTTTTTTTTGACAAATGTATTATGAACTTACATTTTCTTATTTCTTATTTATTTTTTTATTAATAATAGTAATATTATATAATATTAATATTATTGTCACTTCAACCAAGTCACCATTTTGTATATTTTAACTGGTTTATTATTTCAATTAAACTAGAAATTTACTAGTCAATAGTTACTAGAAACAAAAAAAAAAAACGTTACTAGTTAACCGGGAATCGATATTGATAGCTTTTAAATAGCGACTGGTAGGCCTAAGTTTTAATGAATAAATGTTAAATCGGATTGCCATATTTACTCCTGTAATTGTAATGTTATGGTACTTATAGGCTACTACATGTTAGAGTGAAATGTTGCTCCTATTACTTGACAGCTATTGTTATTACTTTACAGATTTAAATAAAATTCAGATACATACAGAATTGCAAAAAAAAAGAAAAAGATGTTATAGATGAAAATGCCCCTAAAACCAGCCATTTACTGCATCAGTAATCACAGTAGCCAATGATTTAATGTGAGTTATTAATAACATAAACCTCTGAAAGGGACACTAATGATAACTTTTAATTCTCTCCTAAGTAACATTCATTCAAACATTTTGAACTTGTGGAGTATTTTAAATGGTTGTAGCTTGCTATGGAGTTGAATGTTTTCGAGCACAGGTTTGTCCTGATCAAATAGGCCACACACAAACCCGAGCAGGTCATAAACTCTCCTCTCTAGCTGGAGGGTACTGTGGAACCCTGGCAGTTGGCACCAGAATCAATGTCAGACGAAACGTTTGAACGCCAACAGCTCCAACGGTTCGGGAACTTCCAACGGTTCTGAAAACAGGAGGGGCCAACTTTGGAGAAGCAGGTAACTTTATCAAGGTGTTTCTTATTGGCTGACTTCCAGTAAGGTAGCAATTTACGATACTGTTTTTCTTTTAGTCAAAACCTTTTTATATACAGTCTATGGTCAAAACTATTATTAACATTAGACGTTTTTAGATTAGTGCTGGGTTAATTTCAAATGTGTTATAAATTGAGAGTATAACTTTATGGGGTTTATCTTTTTTTTCATTAATCGCTCCTAATTAAGATCAAAAAAGTATCTGATCCTAGTTAACGTTATTCGCAACTGTACGTTACGTTTTAACTGCTACTAAGAGTGGTATTATATAGCTTGACGTTAGTTAGCTAACGTTAACCTTTTGACAGTTGGCCTGATACGTTAACGTTTCTGTTTCCTTTTTCCACAGACAAAAACCATGGATGCTGAGGAAAGTTCACTCCCTGTCAGCATAAACCCTAATAACTTCCCTGCCAAGCTGTGGCGCTTGGTGAACAACCCGGCCAACAAAGCCATCTGCTGGGACAACTTCGGCGAGGTCGTCATCATTGATCAACATCTCTTCGAGAGACAGATCCTGTCCCACAACACCGCCACGTTGGACAACGCGGACGCCTTCAAAACGACCAACTTCTCAAGTTTTGTCCGTCAGCTCAACCTGTACGGCTTCAGGAAAGCAGAGCCGGCTATTAAAGACAACCAGCACGCCAGTGGGGCGCATCACCATTTTCACAACCCAAACTTCAAGCGGGACCGCCCCGAACTTGTTGCTAGTCTGAGGAGACTTACTGTGGACAATAAGGCGAAGCTGCAAGCTGGCCTAAACATCAACTGTCGGCGCCCGAGCCGATGCCAGCGATTCAGTGGGGGTGATGATGGCAGAGAGAAAAATGTTAAAAGAGGCAAGTGTCACAGCATGACAACTCATGGCTGTCTTTAGATAGTGGATAGTAATAGTCACACAAGTGTCCCTGTAGTGGTATGGTGAATAATCCTACTAAATTAGTAGTAAAATCACTTCATCTGAACCTAACTGCAGATTGCCATTTTACTCCCACAGTCCAGTTCTTTAAATTTCAGTTATCACTGTCTGACAGGTTGTTGTCACACTTTGCCTTTTCCTGTTTCTGCAGGCCGCTCTTCACTTAGCCCCACACATCAGGAGTCAACTCATCCTTACTATCCAAATAAAGACCAGGCCACAACGGCGCACAATGGAACCCCTGTCCCACCACAATACCTGATAAGGGGCCATGGTGCCGCTTATTCTCCTACTGTCTTTGGTGCAGACAAAGGGATACCAGTATCTTTAAGCCACCACTACACTGGAGTAGCCTCAAGCTCCAATGCGGTGCAGAATTACCAGGGTTTACTGGCCCGTGCGAACCATGCAAGTCCAAATTTCACCAGTTTTGATCCTCCTAATGCACAATATCAGCCTGGCTACTTTTCCCCAGGTGAGCATCAGTTCACCGGTTTAGGAATATGGGTTGAACAAGTTATAAACCACAGTTGTTACATCACTTTAGGTAAATTGTTAATGACACAGGGGAAAGTACTTATGTACTAAAATGCACTAGTAAGGATCTGTATGTTGAATAAATATAATTTATTAAATATGAATGCAAAAAAAACAGGTTTAAACTCCAGTTGGAGCCCACACCAAAACTCTGTATTTTATAATCTGAAATATGATCTTTTGTCCTTCTTGAAGCTTGCCAGTGCTACCATTCGAACCTTGTGGCAGCACATATGACAGGTAGTGGCCTTCAGACTTACTCTCCCCACAGTTATTACCAGGTAGGTGAATTGGAGTCTATTCACTTTGTCGTTTAATCAGTGACACTGTTCACAACAAATGTGTGATTGGTTGGTTAGGAAGATTCTAACATATACTGTGTCTAAAACGTGTGTTATTATTTCACTGTTTAGCCAAGCTACCCCGTGAATATGTTGTGCCATGGGGACAACAATCAGGACTTACAGAATAAGGAAATCCAGGAGGTGAAAAAATGTGACATTAACTTGGAGAGAATTTTCCAGATAGCAGATGAGGTGATGCAAACTCCGTCCAATAGCTTCCTGGTTAGGGTTACAACCCCAGAGAAGCCTGGCCCCGTGTCAGTGCCGTCCTCCAACACCTGTAACGCCATGTTGTATGACAACCCTGCCAGCACCGTGAAAGCAAACCCTTTGTGTGGACCCATTATAATGGCTGTGTCAGACAATGCTAATCTAGTCACATGCGAACAGAAGGAGGAATATGTGGTGTCAGTATCTGAGCAAATGCCTGAAGATGCCATATTTGAGGTAAGCCTCTACATTGCAGATTTCCTGAAGGTATTTACCCTTATCATTTCTATAGGCAAGAAACTCTGTCAGGAAAGGCTGGGTGAGGTCTGTCCAGCAGTTTGCAAGAAGAACTTTGTTTTTAGATTTGATAGGCTATGTATATGTATTAGAGTAGGGCAGAAGACCTGTACATTATATGCTGTGGTTTCCTCTGTGCCCTGGCAAGGTTACCAGTGATGATGCAAAGGACACTGAGGTCATAGGTGTGGAGGTTAGCGACACTCTCAGGGATACCAGTCAGGCTTACAACAGCAGCTGCACAGGAAGTACACCTAATGTTTAGGTAAGACCTTTAGAGAGCACACTCACTGGCTCAAATTTGAATTTATGCTGATAAGTCATCACTGCAACACGTTTACTGACAGTTGGTTATATTTCTTATTTTAGATGTCATCTTGTTGATTTTATTGGCATGTGACAGGGAGTTCTCACTATAGCACCAGACTTCATGCTCCACTTTAACGATTCTTTGTTGTGAAAAACTTTGTTGCTTTGTTCTAATTTAATTTTCAAATGGCAAAAGTAGTTAAATGTTGTACATTCTTGTGCATTCTCATAGTGGTTGCTTTCCTTATTGTTAGTGACTAAAAACTAATATATATTAATTTAAGTAACAGATATATTACTTGTACCACAGTACATTTTTAAAAATTGTAATGCAAGTTTTTACCAATTTGTGATGTTTTTAAGAACTGTAATTTAAAGTATGCTTTATACAGATTTGCAAGTGTAAGTCTGTACTCAGCCTCTCCCCATTTTAATGTGCACATTTTTTGACAAGTTGTAAAAAACTACTCAATTGGGGGAGAAAATGTTATATTATTGTATAAAAATATGATTATTTAATCTAATAGTGATTGATTGCTTTGTGATGGTGACCAAGTGGTGATTGCATTTCCCCACCTTTTTATTTTTCACTGCATCCCTTCAAATGTGCAGTGTTTTTTTTAAAACGTGTAACTGACATGTTTTTAAATGCGCATGTGTAGAAGCATTATCATTAAAATTAAATATATTTTCGACAATGCAGCCGGATGGTTTCCTATGTTTATGTGTGTTTCACTGTTTCCTACTGAACGTGTCTGCTGGTTCTGTAGGACTTTGCACACTAGAGGGAGCCACTCACTCGTTTTTGATCCGCGGTGCTCCTCTGCCGCTGCTCCGCCCTCAACCTCCAATGAGGCATTCAAGTGCTACTCGGAAGCTCCGTCAACGTTATTTCCAAAACTATTTTTAATTCTGTAACATTTAAGTGTTTTGGAGTTGAAAACGCAGCTTGTAAAACAGAAATATTTGATAGCTGTTCATTATCAAAGTCTGCAATTTTACATCAAATTGCGTAAAATAATAGCATGTAGCTGATGTAATTTTTATTTTGCAGTTCGATTGTGGCGTTATATTAATAACTTAAAGCACATGTAACACCATTTGTTTGCACGCTCTCTCCTCCGTCTAAAAAAAGCCAGGTGACAAAAACCAACCGTACTCATAACCCATCCGGTCGTTTGTGTGCAGGGTTTCTTCAAAATCCCAATTTCCGGCGGCACGAGAAGGCAGCGGGACAGCGAGCAGGTAGAGACCGTCAATGAGATCCCAGGGGAGCGAGAGACAGTCTGGGAGGTAGACTTTTGGGACGGTGTCAGAACTGTACACGGTGTCTCGCCACTTTATCAACTTTAAATGGAGATCAGATGGAGTTTGGACCACTTTTACCCCGTACTTTGTGATGCGTTTCTACTCTAATCGTTGATGATTTTGATAAACGATTCATTTTCCTTCTGTGTTCTCAGGAGGATCGTATCTAATTTCACAGAGCAGCGGAGTCACTGAACTCAGGGGAATGCATGATTTTTTTTTCTTACAGCTAGTAGGTTTAAATGAAGACCGACTGTAGAAAATCAGTTGATGGGTCTGTTACAGGAGTCGCTTTGGTTCGGACCCAGTGTGAGTTATATGTGAAGTGAGGCAACGGCCCGTTTGCTTTAGTTAATAATTACATAAAGCGGTGAAGCCTACTGATTATAACCACGTCTCAGAGGATTATTTTTCGCAACTCCTCGGTTGTAAAAAAAAAAGATATATATATTACCCAACTTGTTGGCACTGCATTATCTGTCAGCATGCTTTATAACTTTCCGGCGGCAACCTGTAAACCAGCCTTTGAAGTTCAAGTTGTCGCTCTCCTGCGTTTTTTGTGGATTTATCCAGAAAATGTGGCGCCCACAGGATTTGCTGTCTGTTGACGCTGTTTGTCAACTCGCAAAATGTGAATGTAAGCTACAGTGACTGATGTACACTGTAATATCGATAGTAGTTCGGACACGGATGAAGATCGATTCACTGTTGCCGGGACCTGCCCTCCCGTGAGAGGACACAGCAGTTCAACTAAAACGCAGACTCGTCACAAATGAGGACATTTGTTGTTTATCTCGTGAAGACCGCGCTGTTGGAAACCAATGCACACTTCAAGCTCTAACACAACACAGCGTGTCTTCATGGTGCATTTGAGCGTACAGTGTTTCGCCACCCACATTAAAGACACTGGATAAAAGTTCATTCAAGCTTCTTTTTATCTCGGAAGATGCAGTTTTCTGTAAAGAGACACTTTGCTCCACGCGGGCACTAAGTGATGTGCGTTTCTGTACCGAGCTTGAATATTAACTCTGGTTTTGAATTAAAGTTTTAGGACATTCACGCATGAGTTATGATGGCAGTCCCCCAGCTTTAAAAGTTTGTATCTGTTTCGCAGTAGTCGTCGAGCCTGGGACGTATAAATAGATATAAATATAGCCTATACATTGTTTCTCCGTTTTGTCTATCGGCGGTGCTTCCCTGCTTTGAAGTCCACCATGTGCGGCTGGGCACCGCCGCTACAGCCGAGGCCATGACCGTCCCCCAGCGGCGCCTGGCCGGGCTCTGGCCGTGGCTGCTCATGGCGGCCCTGCAGGTGGTGCTGGGCCAACCGGGCCTGGAGTCCGAGCGGCCGGCCCTCCGAGCGGTCATCAAGGTGGCATTGCTGAATCACGAGCCGACGGGGAAACCCATCACTCTGGAGGGGGTGTTCGTGGGAGGAAGTGCCGGCTACGCGGAGGGAAAACTAATGCAGGTAAGGTGTCATAAAAGAGTATCCACATTGTGTGATCGCACCAAGCCTTTCCACCTTTCCATTCTCACTTATCATTTACCCCCAAGCATAGCCTATATTACAAAATAGGGATTCTCTCAGGTTTTCACTGGACAGGGTTACAAGAGTGCGGACACCTGTTGTCTGAGATGTTGTTCAGCTGTTTCCGGGGCCCAAAGTTTCTACAGGCGAAGTGAATAGCGGACTCAAAGCTGTTTGGAATTTAATACCTTGCTCCTAGACACGCAAGCAATGTGGATAAGTGGGAATATTTGGCCCTCAACCCATGTGTTGTATTTGAAGGACAGACTCACAACTTGGCCTCCGTTGTGTCTTCATAGACATTTACTTTAGCCTGTTTCTCTGATAAACACTCCCATTTAATTTTATTGTATATGTTCTTCTGTTCTATTTGTTCAAATGGACAGATTAGTTAGAGGCTCAGAGTTTAGATCTGGATTACTAAATTAAATGTTCTCACACAGTAGGCCTACAGTGTTGAAAAATACTGACAAACAGCTGGTGTCATGCTGTGGGACCCCTTTAAAAGATCCACTGGACTAATCTCTACTACCATCACTATTGGACTATGCTAACTGGAAAGTAATCGTTCAGCATTCAAAACCTCACAGATTAGAAGGGGTCCATGTAAAAATTAGTTTTCAGAAGACCCTTCTGATAAACTAAGATGATGTTAACACCTGTACTTGTTGCTATACGCCATCAAAATACTGTTGTGACCAGGGGTTACACTGCATCTGTGTAAAAGCTGCTCACAACACCACACTTCCCACTCAGCACTCAGCAAGTGATGACACAATATCTAAATTCCTTTAACAATAGCGATGACATACAGGTGTTATTAAGGTTAGTTCGTTTTCAATCTATTTTTACTCGTCATCATCATCAATCATGTTTAGGCCCATGCAATCTAATTCAAGCAAACATGTTTTTTGTTTTTTTCACCGTTTAGAAAAAAGCATTCAGTTACCCTGCAGATGTAAAATATGTGCTCTATTCAGTGTGCATATTTAGGACTCAGAAGTGGATTAGGGTTCCCGGGCCATAAAGCCTGCCTGTGTCGTTTTATTTGCCGTCTCCAAAGAAACGGGACGACAGACATGAGGCACTGTAGGATCTTGCCTCTACTCACTCACCAGGCATGGGAGGTTTTGTGAATGGCGAGCCAGATGCTGCAGTTTGCTATAACTGATAAGGATTTACATGGCTTGTCTGTGGAGAAAGCCCAGTATTAAGCGCGGTGGAAAGCCATTGCTGTTTTCCTCTGCAGTTCAAACCGATTTGGCTTTTTATGTGTCTGTGTGGGATGTTGAAAACATGTTATGGATGCATATCACAGTGCAGTTGAGATCAAAGATGTTTCCAGCTTTCTGGGATTTCCAGCCCCCCCCCCCCCCCCCCCCCAAATAAAACCTTTTCGCAGTGTTCAATGGGCCAAAATGCAAATGTGCTGTAGAGTATAAATACATGAAAATATATAAACCCCCTGTCACTGGGTCTCAACAAAGAGCTTCAGCAACACACTGTACATGTTAGGGCGCCGTACTTATTAAGGTAACACATGGGTGACAGACATCAAGATTGTAGAAGACAGAATGGCGACAGCTTAATACTCTGCTGATAAGATCCTTGCTCTTATTTTTTCTATTTGCTGGCTATTTTCTTGTTTCCCTAAGTCGGACATTAATTGTGGTTCTGTCCAAGAAGGTATAGATTTGTCAGCCTCTCTCTTCCCAGGCTGTTCCCACAGTGCACAGAGGTGGTGTTAAGCTGCAGGATACTCTTTGTTAAAGCTTAGGCCTGTTCCGACAGGTCCTCACTGCCTCTGCAGGCTGCTTTACGGTCCCGCTTTATGTTCTTCTCTTCTAGTGGATGTGTAAGGCCGGAAAGCAGGGTCGAGTTCCACAGATAGGTTCTCTGCCTCACTCTGTCTTTGTCCCTTTTCCATCTTAGATTGCACTCTCTGTCCTCTGTGTTAAAACTGGTCAGACGTAATGTATGATCATGATCACACAGCCAAATTGGTTGATGTAAGTCTTATACGAAACTTGATATCCGCCTGTGAATACATCAAGAGTCCCGAACTAAAATTTTATTTAAAAACGGCACTGGTTTTGTGTCTGTCCTATTGTGGCCTTTTGGCAATAGCACATTGTGTAGAGGTAGCACTGGAGTTATTTATTTCATAAATCATCACATCCTGTTTTGGTTATGTTTGCTAACATGTGTAAGGAACAAACTCAAGAGAGTACTTGCTATAGAAGAAGTTCCCAGCTTCCTTCAGTGTATTTAAGTCATAAGACTTTGCTTTTTGTACGTACCTCCCTCTGATCTATTAAACTGTGATCTCCCTGGAAGGATGCCCTGTCCTCTGAATGAACACGTTCATTGGAACAGCGGCTGGGGTCTGGCCAGCATTTGGACAAATACAAGTGCGGAGGAATTTTGACTCTCTCCCGCTTTCCAAAATGAAGCTTGTATTGTGACCAGAAGAGAAGTGCAAAGGCTTGTGGGATGACTTTGAACCTAAGAGGATTGTCAGCTGTCAGTTGGGAGACTGAGTTGGAGTTTATCCTCCACCGGGCATTGTGCCCAATTTAAGGACTTAAAAGCTCCACCTAATTTTGCTTAAAGCCATCTTGACTTTCTTTTCTTCCTCACGCTGTATTATTGGGTCTTTATGCTTTGAAATGTTGAATTGACCTTTTGAGAGCTCCCTTAAATACATCAGCTATAATTAAGGCAGGCGAGGCAATTGACTGAACACCAGTTAACGCTGCACCACTTGACATTCTTTCCTCTCCCTTCTCAGTGACCCACAAGGTACTGAATGCCTCTTCATCTCTCCCTGAGCCCTCGACTGTCCGAGGCCGCTATCTGCATATTTCCCTGGCTGGCCCTCAGAACGGCCGTTTGGGAACGAGGGATGGGAGGGCGGAGGGGGCGCTGAGGGAGAACATCAAAGTGAGTCCAGTTCCGAACGTGAGCTGGGATGATTAAAAAAGGAGACTGTTTACACTGCACTTCCCATATGGGCCCTCTCCTCCCCCTCCCTCTAGATTTCCTGTCCATACTTCCTATCTCCCTGGATGAGATAACAGCCTGGCCAGGGCTCCTCAGGGCTCCTCACTGCTTTACATTGCTGGAGGTGCTGCTGTGGATAGTTTTTCTTTGTATATGTGGCATAACACAAATATATATAACATTTCTAAAAATACATCTCTATTTTTTTGAAAGCTTTCCTGAATTGTGTGCAGGTGCATGCTCCTAATCCATGATGTGTTTGGAACATCTGATAAATGTAGCAACAGGGGTGTGGATGAGTTACAATGTTGAAAGGTATATCTTGACAGTAAAAAAAACTATTTGCATGCTAATGCATCTGGAACAACCTCCCAGGTATGAACCCGCATATTTGCCATGCAGATTCACTCACTGAAGTCAAATTCTTAAGTCTACAATACGGCGACAGTGAGAAAAGCAGCAGGGTGGAAGAGGAGTGCTCTGAATTTTGCAGCAAGCCTCAGTTCACATTCATGGCGCTCATGTCTGGCATGCAATGCTCTACCCTGTCCTCTGGTATGGACACCATATGAGACCTTAACATAAACAGCAGGAGAATCACGTCCCCATCCGTCCCATCTGCCCCTCGGCGACACTGGCAGAAATATAAAGGTATAAATGAAATCGCTATAAGCTCACAATTTCCCCCTGCTCTGCCACAGTGCCTGTTAAAAAGAACGCTGACTTTTCTGTGATTAACTGCTAGGAAGGAAAGCCATTCCGGGACAAATGTCAACTTTAAAGCCAGCATATAACATAAGAAACATGCTCAGCGCTTTTGATACAGAGATTATTCACATTCCTTTATGTGGCCAGATCTGCTGTCAAGACGTGTTTGTCTTTCATATTTCCATATGGTCATCAGTTCAGCTTGCTTGCTATTGCTTTTCTATCATCTCCCTTCCTCTAGTGATCTGAGACTACAGTTCCATGTTGCCTCTGGCTCTTGCCTTGAACAGACCCCCACGTGTGTCCAACCTATCAGAAAAGCTCTGGACTAATGGTTTCTCCTGAGCAGGGATCTGACAAAGCTGCAGCCTGCAGCACAGGAAGCACGGGCTAGGGCTGTCCTATCCACCCTCTTCCACAAGAGATGGCTGTTGAGATGTTTCTCAGGGCACCGGGAAGAAGGGAGAGGCAGGTAGGGGAAACATGGCAAATCTCTTAATCCTGCCGGCCCCCTTCTTTTTAAGTCATTAGACCAGGTCTGGAATTCCTGAATGTTATACAACACATTCTTTTCTCCTTTTCATAGCTCTCCTCATGCAAATAACAAGAGGAAGTGTCTGCTACTTGAGCATACACTCTGCCCCTGTCACTGTTTCACTCATCCAGTCAATCCCGCTTACATTTGTGCAAAAGAGTAACATATTTAATTTCACTTTTTTTGGTAGCACACCCATGTGGCACAAACACACACACTAAGCACACACACAATACAGAATGATAAAGGCATTACTACTGGGCCTATCTTTGAACCAGCCCACAGACGGAGTGAGTTGGAGAGGACAGAAGAGGGAAAAAAACGAACATGAGAGTTGAAACAAACACTATTACCAAATCTCACATTAAAGTGACAGCTTGTCCTCCTACACTATGTGAGTGTGTGTGTGTGTGTGTGTGTGTGCTTTCACATTCACACAGTTCGTTGATCTCAGACAGAGTGGTGGAAAAACTTGAAATGGCACACACGAGCATACACACATAAACATGCCCTTAAATGAAATGTTAATGGATACAGGGTTTGTCTCACTCTTCTTTTGGAGCGCTTTTATTGTCTGTCCCTCTGAGGAAACCACCAGGGCACTGAATGAGTAGCAAATGTACGCTGCTCTTTTAAGTTGTGCCATTATGTGGCCACGCATCCATTACAATGGAGAGGAGTGAGTCACTGCTGA